CAACATGGCTAGCTAAGGTATAACTTATTGCAAGAAACTTACTGTAAGTTTAAGGAATATGGCAAATAAACCAACGGAAATTAAACCCGAACTCATCATTCATATGCGACATAACGACTGTACGTGTATATAACATTATATATTGCATTCATTTGCACGATTTGCATTAGATTGTATACACTAATTAAGCTTAAGGCTCTGTCTAAGCTACCTACATGCCAAAAATTATGAATATACTTTTAAGTATTAAAATACTTTTTTGCTTTAAAAGATTTTGATGTAGTACCAGAACAATATGCTAGGGGAACAAAACCACAAATATTCGGCAACACATACATACACAGACACACACAGGTACACCGAAACAATACTTCCATTTTTCCTGGAGGTAATTACGTCGCCTACTTGCAACTGTCCCCTTTATGAATTATACTAGTCTGAAACGTTAACCTGTTGGTATGTGCTAATGCAGACTGTACGTATTTCTAGTCCTAGACTTCGGTAGCTTCCAACAGACAAGACAGCGATGATCTTACTTAACCTTTGTTAAGAAAGAACGACGAAGAAAAATATCCGTTACAATAATCCTTTGACACAGTTTTACATTGAAATGGATTAACTGGTATTTTCAAGGAAAATGTCGTAAAAGGTGCTGCGATTTTACTGGTGAAACTCGAGAAAGATCCGTGGGCCTGATCGATCGGAAATGACATTTTAAGTAAGCATGTCATACTCATACGGTGGCAAGGCCAATGGATCTAGGTAAGTAGGATTAGGCCACAGCAAGTAAAGTTTATGGATGACATCGTAGATCTAGACTCCAAATTTAATGCGTTAGGGCCAAAAAGAAACAAGGCAGGCAAAAAACACAAGATTCCTACATTTAACCTTTTTAAGAAATGGTGCTAACTGCTAAGTTTACTGCCATCTCTTATTTTGAATACTTATGGATTTTTAAATATATTAACTAGGCACTACAATCGTGTACCTACGTGTATTTTGGGGCCTCTACTGCGCAACGCAATTGTGACGTCTGCCTTCAGTGTTAAGACAGTAACATAGGCCGTTGTCATAACAGAAACAGTAAGTAATATGACCAAAGCTTTTCTTAAAAGCTCTTACATGGATTAATAAGTGGATTTAAGTGGATTAAGAGCATTAGCTGATGTTTTGAGTGACATGTTGTGAGAAGTCACGATTTCCCCGGTGGGATTCTTGGAAAACGAGCAACGGTAAATAGGAAATTTTCAGGTAAACCAGAAGTTTGTTTTGCAAATTCATGCTCGCAGTTTGCAACATACAATATATACAACATACAAAATGAGAAACAAGTGAATAATCTATTCCAAACAATATTCTAGTAAAAAAAAAACAATGTTAACTTTTTTTTTTTACTTCTTCTTTATACCAAAGGGTCCTACCAAAGACTTTACAAATTAACTGCTTTCTCTGCTTAGCTCAATTGGTAGAGTGCTCGCTTTGTAACCGGGAGGTCGTGAGTTCAAACCCCGTCCGGGTCATACCAAAGACTTTAAAAATGGTACACACTTCTTTCGCTGCTTAGCACTCAGCACATATGAGAAGTGAGAGTGTGGGAAGGTCAAACACACAGCACTACCAGCGGACTAGCCCCCTGCTGTAGTGCATTGCACAATTGTGTGTCGCCCAAGGGCTACGAAATGGAGATGGGCACCACCCTACGCTCGGGCAAGAGCACGGGAGACCTTCGTCTTCTCTGCTTAGCACGCAGCATCTATGAGAAAGAGTGTGGGAAGGTCAAACACACAACACTACCACACAACTGTTTGTGTGTGTGGCCCTAGGGCTACAGAAATGGAGATGTGCATCACCTCTATGCTCCACAAGGAGTGGAAAGGGACTCATTCTTTCCCCTACAGTTAACTTTTTTTGTACCACCCTTTCTCGTGGTCACCTTGGACAGGTTGCTTAATGCTTGCGTCAATGGGCAAAATTTTTGGGACCGAAATAAGCGGTCGCCATGGCCAGGTGGCCGGCTTGAAGAGGTGGTCACTTTGGCAGGTTTGACTGTAATTTTCCATCCTATAAGCTTGTTTCCAAGAATCTCCCCGGTGAACAAATGACTTCACACGTTCCTCAACACGTGCTAGCTACAGGAACTGGAAAGTTTACTGCCATTTAAGTGGATTAACTGATAGTTTGAAGGACATGCCACGAGGAATCATGATTTTACCGGTAAAATTCTTGGAAGAAGACGAGCCAAGGTAAATATGACATACCAACACTGCTAGTTTACAGGAACCGGCGATTGAACTGCTACATTAGGACCCATTCCCACTAGGGTAAAATTGTCCGGATCGAGCCGAGTCGCAATCGATTCGCTTTGATCAGGAGCCGGATCGAAGCGAATCAATTCGGCTCGAACCGGACAATTTTACCCTAGTGGGAATGGGGCCTTTAATAGAAGCCAAGACATGCATGGTTCAGATTTAGCCGTCGCCGACAAACATTAGCCCTGTTCAGACGAAAGCGCGGGAACCGCATGCGATCCAGATTCCACCGAATCAGGATTCAAGTGGCCCCATCTGAACGTTCCAAACTACATTGAAAGCGCCTCTATCCCAAACCACCTCGAGAGGTAGTTACGAACTAACCGGCTACAACGCATTCCGGCTTCAGTCGCAATGTGACTTAACCGGTTTACTTTACATATTGACCCAGTCGTGGATTATACGGGGTGAAATTTCTTTGTTCACATGCAATACCAAAATTTAGTAAAAAAAGAGCAGTAATGACCGAATAATTTGCCCATTCTAGGACGAGCTTCACCGCGTCGGCATTCGGCCGAGGTAAGCTGGGTGTTTGCTTCAGCATCAGTTACCATGGTGACAGACGTCTGGTCCAGGTCATTGACCTTATGTGTTTGGAGAATGTAAACATAACTAGTGAAAGACAGGCACTAGGAGAAAAGTAGTTAACTTAGTCCGCCAAAGTCATACGAAATGATGATGACTTGTAATAGTGTTGTTCACATTTTTTCCAAGAATGTACCAACATCAAGACATACCTTCACCTTGACCTTGAGTGGTTGTAGAATCTTAAGGTTTCAGAGGAAGAACTATTTGACAAGTTTTGCCACACGAACTGCTAACGTCTTACGTCTCTGTGACGTATGTCCGAAATCTTCTAAGACGTTAGGTCTCTAAACCGCATCTTGAGAATAACTCCAGATCTCCGGAGGGAACATTAGTCAGAAAAACTTCCACTAAAGGTCGAGTCTTTAAAGCCGCACCTCTATCCGAAATGATCCATTCCTTTTAATGGTATCGCTAAAGTGATTATGAGGATGTTACCTGCCTGCATATTCACCACAGATTTCCTTTATACCCCATTCATCACACTAAATAGTCCAGCGACATACTATTTAGCTGAAGAATTGTGCACTTTTGTCTAAAAGCACCCAATTTTGCACAGATGTACATGTACCTGAATATATTCTAAGCAAATCTGGATATGGAGGCATTTCATTTTCTTCCCAGGAGCGATTTTCTGGCGTATTTTGCTATTTTTGACTAAAAATGTATACTTTTTGGCTTCTGTGCCAGCATGGCAGTTGAAGCAATGGTTATAAAATTTGGTACAAACATACAACTTAGCAATTACAATGCGGTACTGTATACTAGGTGTTGACTTCTCTGTTGTTCTTTTCTGGAAAATTCGAATTTGAGAAATATGGAAGAGCATTTAACGTGCATTCTGAATACTACTATTGCTACAGCGCATTTCAGTATTATTCGAAACATTCTGATCGCATTGAAGGAAGAACGAAAACTGAACCTGAATATTTGAAATGCCTCCCCGGATTTTGAAGAATGCACTTCGAAAAGCCAGGAAGATAAAAAAAAATGTGCTATTCTGACTCCTTCCACCTCTAGAGTGAATGGAATATAATTATAGGGTTTCACGAAGGTGGCTCGATTTTGAGAATTAATTCTTCATTCCGGCTGTTTCTGTTCGATCTTGCTGGTTCGGAATAAGTGTAAACGGGCCTTTGGAATAAGTGTTAGGAGGTATTTAGTTAACCCTTTAAGATCACATGACGCATTACGTAAATTGATTACATAAATGATACGATTTGCGTTGGGGTACAGAGATCGGGTCACGAATGACGTAAAATAAACATATTTTTATGACAGACTCATAAAAGCCAACTAGAGTTTTCTCTTCGAAGTCCAGTTAAAAGCTACACTTTGAAAACAGAAGACGTACTAGTCACCGCACTCCTGGAACAATGAATATGTACACTCTATAACACTGCCCAGCTTTCTGTCTATGGTAAAACGGAAGAAGCTACGGTGGTTCGGGCACGTATCTAGAGCAAAGGGACTCTGTCACATACAGATGCATATTTCTAATGGGTTGAGGCATAAAGAATAAAAACAAGAAGCCAATTTCAGTGATTACTAGACTTTAGTACCCATGCTACCGTAGCAACGCACACAATGCCATGTATCTGTAAAATATTCTTTTGCTATGACATGTATTTAACCGAGTGGGTATGTAACCTTCCTTCCTTCCTTCATCCATCCATCCATCCATCCATCCATCCATCCATCCATCCATCCATCCATCCATCCATCCATCCATCCATCCATCCATCCATCCATCCATCCATTCATTCATTCCCTGTTCAATTGGGTCATGGCATATTTCTCCTGTAGAGTTTACATGTAAGTGTTTGTATCTTGGCAACGACACGTTTAATTTCCTTCATCTCACACAAAGATATCATTAAGCCTTCCTTCCTTCCTTCCTTCCTTCCATTCATTCACTGTCCAAGTAGCTCTTGCAGATGTTACATGGAAGTGTTTGTATCTTGGCAACGACACGTCTAATTTCCTTGATCTCACACAAAGACATCGTTAAGCCTTACGCAAACCAACCCGCGAGTCGGTTGATTTGCGTAACTGTCCGTAAGACCCGCGAACGCCGATGTTTTTCACGAAGGAGTGAGACGTGGGGAGTGACATCCGTGACGCACTGACGTTAGAGTGGGTGGAGGCTATATAAGAGACGGTTTCAGGCTTACAAGCCGACTTCTCACAGGAGCAACAGAGCTGCACAGCCCTGCAAAGTACCAAGGTGAGTAACTTCTGTCATTGTCAACAATCTCATTATAAAACCCAACGCGGCGAAACGGAAATTCTTAATGTTGGGAAATAAAATTATTTATTACATAAATAGGAATCGTGTTTCAAAATTGGAAAATGCTTCATAGAGCAATCTGGTGTTTGATACTATTGAGCTATTGAGCGATGCTGGTATATAAGTTGTTTCTTTCTTTCTTTTTTGCTAAGGCTTTCATTTTCACATCAAACAAGCTGTTGACATTTTCACTCTTTGAACGTCAGTTGCAGATGTGGTTATGGAAGAGGCCGGTTGTACTGTCGGCAATAATGTTTCCGTTTTCTGTATCATGATAAACGTTTTTTTTTCTATTAACCACACTACCTACATGGCGCAGTCTAGTATCGTTTGTTTATATGTGTTATAGGCGCCTTTATAAGCGTAACACACCAGTTTTGTACATGTACAAGCTGCGTAAGACCGGCACCGGACTGTAAGGTTTGAACCACTCACACCGGGAAGGAACCCTACTCTTTTCGATAAGTGCGGTGGGTTCTTTAACGCGCGATATGTGTGGCTCTCCCAAACAGGGGACCTTCATTTAACATTATATCCGCGGGACGTACAGGTCCAGGTCCGGATTCAAGTTTAGAGGTTTAGGTTACGTCCGGACTTGTAAGTCCTGACCTAAACCCAGGGCATGTACAAAATTTTCCAATGGAAAATGGGGCATTTCTACCGCAAATTTGAAGCGACCACTGCACTACAAGGTGCAAGATATAGTCCTCATACCTCTCACCAACGTATTCGGTACCCAGAAGTATGGCATTGAGCAAACCCATTAAAAAATCTTCAACAGGAGTACAAAAACGATAGATGGGACAGTTGAATATCTTTTCCTAAACCGGTTGGGGTAGATTTAAAAGCACCCAATGCAACTTCAGGGCGACAAAACTGGATTTTTAAAGTCAATTTTATGATCATTCTTTTAGTGTCGTAAGTTGAATCAACCCATAACATACTGATATCTGTGAGGGAAAAATGCGATGCCACTGACGGGAAACGGTTTCTTGTTTTGCAGTTGTAGTCTAGTTTTAGCTATTTGTAAGAGATGTTTCACATAGCTTGTTTTGGGGCTATTTAAAACGCTTCGAGCATGACAAAAATGTGATAAAAAATGGCAGTAAACGTCAATATCAGACAGATTTCCTCCTCCAGCTAGACAGTTCTTGTTTTGCCGCACTAAAATTGCATTAGATGCCGTAAATAAAAAGAAGTAGAAAGTTTATTGCAAATACATGCCCGAGGAATATAATTGCAGGTATAAACAACATTGTATGAAAAAAAGAAAATACAATGGTATGAGAGACTTGGTCTAACATTACACTACATTCTACAACATACATGGTACTAGTTTTGCTGGGTTTGAATTCTTCTTTTGAGGCAGTGAAAGACGAATTTACCCACTTCTTCTATAATATATGGGCTCTTTGATTTTAGTAGTAAAATTGTTTTCCCGCGGTAGGGGATAGTGGGAAAGTAAGTGAGCATTTTGGACACGATATTAAATAAATTAATGCTTTGTTTTCAAGTGGACGTTTTTACAACTGAAAATGTTCTTTTTTCTACCAGCGAATATCAGTGAGAATGGCAGCGGTTTTCTGGTTGACGTGCTGGGCCCTGATCTTCTCGGTGTTCTACGGGGCTGCTGATGGTCATGACGGCATCCCGATGGAGCTAGAACCGTCTGATGGTGAGTCGGCTTCACTTCACTCACTTCACTGCGTCGAGCGCACTCGGAGTCTTTTTTTTATTCCAACATGTAATCACAAGACGTGGTGACGGCACACTTAAGTTTATTCAGCGTACTTAATACCGCCACGAACACAGGGGACGATATAATACTCATTTTCACTTGAGTTAAGTGAGGAAAGTCGTGTATAGTGCCTTTTCCAAGGGCACAAGATCGGTGGTATGTCATGACTCGAACCCGCGACCTCTTGGTTCCGAATCGAACACTCTGCCCCTACGCCCGACCCCACGAAGCCTTCTCATGACTGTCTGCTTTCATTTCTCTCTATCCTCCATCGCATCAGGCAGTTAACTTAGAGTCATTCCAAGCCAAATGCGATCTTCCGCGACTTCTGTTTCCATGACTCGGGTTCCACAGTAAGAGTTTGTGTACTACCTCATCCTTTTTCCTCCAACAGTGGCCTACAAAACGTAGTCTCCTTTGCCGTATTGTTTCAGCAACTGGCGGTATGTTTTTGTACAGCTCACGGTTTGTGTCCATGAGATGCTCAAGACATTTATCAGCATTCTAGTGTACGAGCCATTTAACCCTCTCTCCAGTGTTTTTGTAAGTGTCCAACACTCTGAACCATAGTACTTACCGGGAAGTTATCTGTGGTGCTTCAGCTTTTTTCTCCGGATACGCCCTGGGCACTTTTAAATTAGAGTCTTCTATGCGTTAGTCAAGTTACTCAAGCAACTGGACATGATTTTGGAAACGGCCAGACGTCTTCTATGTGCGTTTTCAGCGCATTACACGTACTTTATTCACTGCGTGTTCAGCGCTTTACAAGTACATTCTGCAGAATTCTGGCTCCAGTTTCCAGATTTCTGCAGAATTTGCAATCCCAACGGGTCCTCGATAGCTGCTACATATTTCTTACATCATTTTAACCTATAGTTTACAATATTAGCCCATCTAGATGTACGGGATTTGATATGGGAATTAGTCCGGAATTAAACTGGTAGTCCAGCTGAATGAAACGAGAGTCTGTTACGTATATTTTCTTGTAAAGTTGTTTTGATAATCAGAAGAAAAGGTGCTTTTATTCAGTTCAGACAAATTACGATGAGACGACTGCGTAACGCTAACGTGTAAAGGAACTGTGTCAAAAAACAAACAAACTAGAAGTAATTTCTTATTTGTTGCCTTGATAGACAGAAATGAAAGGTGCTCTTATTGAGTTCAGACAAATTACGATGAAACGACTGCGTAGCGCTAACGTGTAAATGACCTGTGTAAAACAAAAGTAGAAGTAATTTCTTGTTTGTTGTCTTGATAGAAATAAAAGGTGCTCTTATTGAGTTCAGACAAATTACGATGAAACGACTGCCTAGCGTTACCTTATACATCCTTAGTTACGCGAAGCGAAACATGGATATGCGCAATTGTGTAAAAAGGACCTGTGTCAGAAAAAACAGAGGTAATTTTTTGTTTGTTGTCTTGATAGAGAGAAATAAAAGGTGCATGACTTCAGTTCAGACAAATTACGATGAAACGTCTGCGTGGCGTTACCTCATCCGCCCTTAGTTACGCGAAGCAAAACATGGATATGCGCAACTGTGTAAAATAAAAAACTAGAAATGATTTCTTGTTTGTTGTCTTGATAGAGAGAAATAAAAGGTGCATGAATTCAGTTTAGACAAATTACGATGAAACGACTGCGTACCGTTACCTTATACGTCCTTAGTCACGCGAAGCAAAACATGGACCTCTCATGCACAGCTGGCTGTTTAATTATTTTCACACGTCAAGTGTAGAGACCACGTACACCGTATCTGATGCAGGCATCGATGAGGTGGTTTGATACTGAACTGAGAGAATCACTCAAGGTTGGCAGGAAATTAAACAAGCGAAATGAATACGGCATGACGCTACTTGACGTGCAGACGTCGTCATACGAGACGGCAGTCGTGTTTTCCTGGGATAAAAATAATTGACAAACAAACGGTGGAGATGACAGGCTGATTAGGTTCACAAAAACTCCCGTCGAAAAGCAAGAAATTCAAAACAGTTTTCCATCAGCTGCATCACGTTCTTGACTAAAAGATATCAGTATGCTATGGGATAGGGTTGATTTAACTTACTACATTGAAAATGACAAGAAAACTGACTACGAGAATCCAGTTTTACTCCCCTGAAATCACTCTTGGTAAAGTAAGCGCCTTTTGGACATTCACAACAGCGCAATACAGAACATGCCATATATGCTTTAAAGATGAACTGTACGTTGTAGTCAACATCCTTAACCAACAGGCGGCTTGTCACAGCATCAAAGTGGTTTTTGGATTTTCTGGGGGACGTACTTTGGATTCGAACCCAAAGTATACTTTGCCATTGCATCAACGTACAGATATCTGACCACATGGCTAAATGGTAATTGTTGATGTTAAATGTGTACAGTTGGGCAGATGAGGGTGTGATGCCTACGTATACGTGGTGGTGTTGATGCTAAATGAGTACATTTTTGTAGAGATGAGGGTGTGATGCCTAAATAGTGTTGTTGATGCTAAATGTGTACAATTGTGCAGATGAGGATGTGATGGCTAAATGTTGTTGTTGATGCTAAATGTGTACATTTGTGCAGATGAGACTGTGATGCCTGAATGTTGTTGTTGATGCTAAATGTGTACATTTGTGCAGATGAGGGTGTGATGGCTAAATGTTGTTGTTGATGCTAAATGTGTACATTTGTGCAGATGAGGGTGTGATGCCTGAATGTTGTTGTTGATGCTAAATGTGTACATTTGTGCAGATGAGACTGTGGTGCCTACATGTTATTGTTGACGCTAAATGTGTACATTTGTGCAGATGAGGGTGTGATGCCTAACAGAGACGTGGTGGCGCTGCTCGTGAGTCGCCAGGTAGACCCGTGCCTTCTGCCGTCCAGGCTTCGCCCGCCTAGCTGCATGCGGCAGTACGGCAGGTAATTATACATAGTTAAACTTGTTAGAAGGAATGACGGCCTTTTTACACTATTTTGCTGCACTGTGCTAAGTACAGGTCTCAACAAAAATGATGAACAGTCAGAGTTAACAGATAAAACTTTGAAAATAAAACTATCATTAGAGTTATCTTCTCGCTTTTCAGTTATAGAACAGATATGTTTTTCGATGAAAGGTTTGTCTACTTGCATTTAGGAATATGAATTTTTCTACAGTGCCTAAGGAAATATGTTTTGTACGAACCTACACACACACATACACAGTTCATTTCTCTCCTTGCTATACAATTTACATATTATCTGTCCTTCCTTGAAATGCACATTTTGAAAGTTTGTACAGTATTTTCCTTTAACCCGACGTCATCCCTGTGATAATAAACTTACACTGCACGAAAAGTGGGATTCAAAAATGGCGATAAATGCCTGGTACTGTCCGGTAATGGTTTCTGTTGGCATTTGATGCCTTAGACAAAAATTATCAGGCTTACTCGCCATTGTCAAAACAGACATTATACCAAACGCACCCTGCAGAGTTTCCTGGAATTCATCGCTTCCGGTAAATCCCAGTTTTGTTGGACAAAATGAAGAGGTATTAACCAAAATATGGGATTTAACTATACGCTGTCGCCATCTGCAGCATACATAACCATTAACAGATTTACTTTACATTTATCATAATCGGCAACTTCCACATTCCATGCGGTTCTAATTTTTTTGTTATTCAGAATTATATTTACTGGTCGTTGATCGTAAATATTGTACAGTTTGACATCAATTTTGCCCGATGACTGCCATTGTGGGGTTTTGGTAGTATGTCTTCCCACAATTATATAACTACTACTATTACTGCTATTAATACCACCACCACCACCACCACTACTACTACTACAACTATTACTACAGCTACTGCTATACACTATTACTACTTCTACTATTACTACTACTTCCCATTACTACTACTACTACTAATAATAATAATACTGCTACTACTACTACTACTACCACAACTACTGCTATAATACTATTAATACTTCTTCTTCTTCTACTACTACCACTACCACTACTACTACCACTACTACTACTACTACTACTACTACTATTTCTACTTCTTCCACCACCACCACCACCACAACTACTACTACCTATTACTACTACATGTACTAATACTACTACTACTACTACTACTACAACTACTTTTACCACTACAACTACTTCTACTATTACTACTTCTACTAGGTACTACAAGAGGATGCCTCAGGCCACCACCCTAGCCAACAAACTCAGGGAAGCAGCAGCAGGCAAGCAGGTTCGCATGCGAACGTACGTTGAAAGCTCTTATTTTTGCTCAATCGGCTTATTAATAGATGGTACATTGCAGCCATAGGCCGAATTACGTCATCATCACAAGTGATATAGAATACATACTGAAAAGGTAAAGTTTGCAAAGCAAATGCATGATGTTCACCTTCACACGGCTCAGCTCATAACAAACTACTGCTTTGTTTATTCTTACTCAAACACATTCATATATGTATATGGTGACCATGCAGTCCCCCTTGAACTCAGTTCTGCATGGCACTTGCAACATTATGTAACCCAACACCAGTTACCATGGTGACAGACGTCTGGTCTTGGTCATTGAAATTATTTGTTTGGAGAAGAAGAAGAAGAGCAAAAACAATGGTAAACATAAAAAGGGTAGCAACTTCAAATATCAATTCCAAACCGTAACCATTTAGAAGTCTCAAAATTCACTCAAAAACCAAATGCGTAGCTAGAAAAAGCGTAGCCTAGATTCAAACTACACCAAGAATTTTTGAAAAATGCTGTTTGTGATCATAAGCTTACACACCATAGCAAGTAAATACAGCTTTCTCGGGTCTTATGGGCACTTAGAAAAGTGAGAGACTCTTGAAAGTGCAAAGAGAATCTAGGCCTGCATATATATGTTTTATGTAAGATATTCAGTACGCCACTCTCTAGCAATGTAAAGTCAACATACGAGAAAACATTCCATCAAGAGTACTTCAGCTTCTACACCGTTCAAATACTAGGCTCAAATACTTACAGTCAAGCATCAACACAAAGAATACAAAGCAGCATACCTTTGAACAAGCTTAAAGGTGTACTTTTTGTAAACGTACTGGCATTTTGGAATATCAGAAAAGATTAGGTTGCATTATACACTCCATTAAGTGTAATACGTCACTCTTTAGGTGCGGATAGCAGCGGCCTTATGGAGCTATCCACTAAGAATAACAATGACACAGTCCGCACCTGGTTCCATACGCAGAAATTGAGCTGTGGCTTACTCTTTTTTTCAACTTTTCCGTGTCCGCCACGGCACTTTATTCTGCTAAACATTGTAATACAGCCATTACTAGTGCAATGTACATGTTTTAGCAATTAAATACAGTGGTGTACAAAGAACAAAAATACAGGAAAGTATGGAATACATAATCCCTCAAGAGTTTTCTATGACCTGTGGCTTACTCTAAACACGTAAACCTTTATATGTTCTCATCCAACCTTTATTACGTATACGAAGATTATTCTCATCTTATTTATTTTTATTTATTGAAAATGCAACAGGACATTACACTGACTCTCAAGGCAGCAAAGCTGATATTAGAGAGTCAACATATAAGGACAAAACACAAAGGGCACATAATTTCAATACAATATGAAATACAAGAACAATCATAAAAACTTAACCTATATCAATATGATTAATTAACTACATATATACATAATGAAAATAACGCATTTGGAGGTCAGAGGTCCAGAACAAAATATCTACTACCTCATAAGAGAAAATTGGTACTATTATAAAATAACAAAGCTAGGAGGAACAGCTGGAAGTGCCTAGAAACGGTTTGTTGAAGTGATGTAGGTGCGGAAGGCATGTGAAAGGCTTTATTCTCATCTGTATATTATCATTCATAAGGAAAATATTTATTTTCATGTTAGCTTCGCAAATCGTATTAGTTTTGCTCTGTTTCTTCTTGTCCAAACAAAGAGGTCAATGACCAGACGGTTGTCACCATTTTGCAATCTACATCTATACAATGCAAATGTGCCACCGCGGTATACACGTTCTTTGACTGTATATCATAATTCATAGGGAAAATATTTCTTTTGGTGTTTAGCGTTGAAGGAGGAACATCGTATTAGTGTTGCTCTGTTTCTTCTTGTCCAAGCAAAGGGGTCAATGTCTTGTACTTAGCCATGCATAATTTGTTGTCTTTTGGATGTACCGTTTGCAACCTTTCATTAACTTTTTGGCGACGTCTCAGGGAGGAGCCTAATGGTACAGTATTGTGTGCAATTCGCAAGAATTCTAGGAACTGTACAGGCATTTTGTCCACAGGAATGGAATGTCCACAGGCATTTCCCTGACCCACATCTATGCCCACATTCCTGGAAACCCTTGGGAAGACCCAGAAGACCTGTCTGCCAGGATTTCTGTGACCCCGGGGCTCGTTCACTATACACACGGGGGAGGAGTTCACTGTATCTGTCTTGCTCAAAATCATGAAACGATGGCAGTGCCATGCAAACAATAACCCTAACATGAACCACCGTCGCCATGGCAATGTACGTTTTCATTGCCAGTCTTGTTTAAATTTCTATTTGTTTTCTTGATTTGTCTCCAGGCAGCAGCCTATGTGGTGAGAAAATGAAGCCGAGATCAGCACTACTTGGAAGCTTCATCTGGAACAAGTGTTGATGCTTTGAATAATAACATTGTTGAAAGATGAAACGAAACGCGGATTTGAAAAAAAAACTGCAGAACAACAGATTTTAAGTGTTTCTTCACGTCGTATTGTGTTCGTGCACCTGATTATTTGATGTTAGTAACGTTGGAAATGCACTGATTATAAAGAATTTGATTCTTGAATAATTAGCTAACGTCGTTTTGGACCTCGTAACCCTATAGTTATCTTGATACCGCATTAACGATAGCCGTATACATGCACAATTTGGCTGATAATGCATATAATGTATGGCTCATAAATTATCATATCACTAGTCGTTTGCCATTATATAACATTAGGACGGTAAAATGTATTTTTTTTTCAGATTTCTTTACAAAGTTGACTTAACCCTTCTCCATTTCGAATAAGTGACATTCAGGGAGTGGAGGTGCCAAAATATTTCACCAAAGCTAGAAACACAGCTGTCAGCCATGTTTGTTTACATTCTAGTAGTTTGTGGTGGCACCACAAACTCCGTGCGCCTCGTGTGGCCTGTTCTAGCGCCAAACATTAATGTAAGAAATGTGAGATAATTGCACACATATGTCACACGAAGGTTTTGTTCAGTTAAAATATTTCAATTTTAATGCAAAAATGTTATATAATGCCCCTTTTAAGAATCGCATTCAGAACGTCCTATACATCCCGTACCACAGTTAACTTCTACTCTATCGTCTGTAGGTGTTTGCACCAGAAGAAAAATCAGTTCTCTTGTTTTTTAGTCTTTCAGTCGTTGTTGTTGTATGGTGCGTGAGCTGTTGTAATGCTACTACTGGAAGTATATATTGACTTGGGAAAAAAATAAAGAGATATTTTCCTGTATCCACGCAAAGTTTCCTTGTCATGTTTGTTTCGCAAGCAGCTGATGTGGCTTGTAGATTCAGGATACATGCACAACATACAGTCCCATCCACAGCGCACAAACACACAACCAAAATGGCGTCAACCTTCTCGGTGAAGGCAATGAGAAAGTAGCATTTATTATAACAACAAAAATTCTTTATGAACGATAGCCATTGATACACTAGTATCCAGCTTCAAAAGTCAAACACCAAAGATACTATAATTATTTGAGTAGTCACAAGTTGTACTGTTCTTCATGGTTTTTAAATTTTTCTTTCAACAATACCTACTATTAGTATATAAAGTAAAGACAGAGTCAGTTGGTCCAGACAGCATCCACTATCTTTAACAACGTCAGCTTTAGCTGATATATCATTGAACTGTGAACTATTCATACACCTCCTCAGCTATGAATGATGAAAGCTCGAGAGTGGATGCTGTTTAAAACATCTGCTTTCCACGTTTACAATAACCTCCAGGAATATCTTTTGGTGGATGAAAGTTTAAAAATCGGCAACGCAGCCTTCTTCATTCACTCTCCAAACGCAGGCATAGGCTTTGGTGTGTTTTTAGGGCTTTTTTTTCTTTCTTTTTTCTTCGAGGGCGACTGCCCTGCCAATGATACTGTCTTGCGGCCACCAAGCTATTTGAAAACACTGCGACAACCTCTTTTTCTCACCTAACACAGGAAGGAATTTACAGTGAACTGACCTTTGAAGAAATTGACACATAGATACAGCTGTTGCCTTATGACTATAAAAAGCAAAGTATCTTTCAAGAAATGCTGCTATCGCACTTTCAAACTAATTTCAAGTGAAAGTAAATGTATTTGCCAACCTTTAGGGCACTGAAAGTAGATGCTGTGGTCAAACAGAAACGGGTTTACAATGGATTGAAAATCAAACAGTAGTGACCCATATAAGAGCTTTACCGGTGTTACAACCATTTGTTCTAGATTTGTGGGTGAAAAATTCCTGATCTCAAGCTTTGGACGCGTAAGCCTTTTTTCGTCCTTTCGCGTCAGGAATGTTTATCAAAGAGTCAGAGAGCCAACAAATAATATTCGTACTGGTGAGGTCTAATGGACAGTTTACACTGGATTCAAAATCAGACGTTGGTGTCTTATGTAAGAGCTTTATCAGTAATGCGACCAATTTGTTCCGGATTAAATATTTGTGGGCGGAAAATTTCTTGGTCCCAAGCTTTGGATGCGTAAGCCCTGTCGCTTCATGAATACACATGTATGTTTGTTAAAAAGTCAGAGAACCAACAAATAGAATTCGTACTGGTGTGGTCTAATGGACAGTTTACACTGGATTCAAAATCAGACGTTGGTGACTTATGTAAGAGCTTTATCAGTAATACGACCAATTTGTTCCGGATTAAATATTTGTGGGCGGAAAATTTCTTGATCCCAAGCTTTGGATGCGTATGTCTGTTTTTTTTCGCCCTGTCGCTTCATGAATATGTTTGTTAAACAGTCAGAGAACCAACAAATAATATTCGTACTGGTGTGGTAAAATGGACAGTTTACAGTGGATTGAAAATAAAACAGTGGTGACTTATATAAGAGCTTTACCGGTATTACAACCATTTGTTCGAGATTTGTGGGTGGAAAATTCCTGATCTCAAGCTTTGGATGCGTAAGCCCTGTCGCGTCATGAATATGTTTGTTAAAAAGTCAGGCTATAATGTCACCCAAGTTCACATCTACAGGGATTTGTAGGCGAAGTAAGGTGAAGAACGTACGATATCGATGATAATGGAGAAAACAGAACGCTTCCTGTCAATGATACCGGAATCAGGGTATTTCTTCCTCGATATAGCTATAAATATATATTGCTGTTCACATTATAGACATTGTAGATGTACGTGAATATAACACCGTTTTGTTTGTAACCTTAGTTAGCAAGGAAATCAAACTATGGTCATCATTTGCAACATATTTTCTGAAAACATGATCAATTTAGATATCGAGTGATAGAGAATAAAAAAAAACTTCACTCAGCAGCCAAGCAAAGTGGCCATTGCAAGAACTAACATTGGAAAGAGCTTAGATATCAGATAGGTTTTACCATGGGCAAAAATTAAGGCCATTGTTAAAGCGGTTTATCCTAGCCTGAAAGCCAGGATTCTAGGTGTGTCTGTATCCGTATAGCCGGTATAACCGCCCTTCGGCGTAACACACCAGCTTAGGTGTTGGTGGCGTGAGGTGAAATTAGACTGAAGAAGCTGTATTATCCTGGCCTTAGCCCGAAATCCTGGATTCCAGACTAATGTCATCCAAGTTCACATGTACAGGTGAAAACTGTAGGCGAAGTAAGGTGAAGGGCGTACATTGATGATGAAGAAAACAGAACTATGGACATTATGGACATTGTAGATGTACATTGATATAGTAGCACCGTTTTGTGTGTAACCTTAGTTGGCAAGGAAATCAAACTATGATCATCATTTACAACATATTTTCTGAAAACAGAACTTAGATATTGAGTGATAGAGAATGAACAAAAACATCACTAAGCCAAGCAACTAGGCATTGCAAGGGCTAACCTTGGAAATAGCTTGAACGGATAGATTCTTCCATGGACAAAACATGAAGGCCATTGTTAAAGCGGTTTATCCTAGCCTGAAAGCCAGGATTCCAGGTGTAGGTTGCATGAGATGAAAGAGATTCAAGATGATCCACGTCATCTGCTATCAAGAAGCTGTTTTATCCTGGCCTTAGCCCAAAATCCTGGATTCCAGACTAATGTCATCCAACTTCACATGTACAGGTAAAAACTGTAGGCGATATAAGGTGAAGGGCGTACATTGATGATGAAGAAAACAGAATTATGGACATTATGGACATTATAGATGTACATTGATATAGTAGCACCGTTTTGTGTGTAACCTTAGTTGGCAAGGAAATTAAACTACGCCCATCAATTACAAAATAGTTTCTGAAAACAGGACCAATTTAGATATTGAGATATAGTCTGAGATGAAAAAAAAATACTCAGCCTAGCAACTAGCCATTAATATTGCAAGGGCTAACCCTGGAAATAGCTTGAATGGATAGGTTTTTCCACGGCCATTTCTAAAATGGTTTATCCTAGCTTGAAAGCCAGGATTCTACGTGTAGGTGGCGTCTACGTCTATACATTAAGAAGTGAGGTGAAAGAGACTGAAGATGATCCACCTCACCTGCTATCAAGAAGCTGTTTTATCCAGTCGTTAGCCCAAAATCCTGGATTCCAGACTAATGTCATCCAAGTTCACATGTACAGGTGAAAACTGTAGGCGATGTAAGGTGAAGGACGTACGATGATGATAAAGGAAACAGAATTATGGACATTATGGACATTATAGATGTACATTGATATAGTAGCACCGTTTTGTTTGTAACCTTAGTTGGCAAGGAAATTAAACTACGCCCATCAATTACAAAATAGTTTCTGAAAACAGGACCAATTTAGATATTGAGATATAGTCTGAGATGAAAAAAATACTCAGCCTAGCAACTAGCCACTGCAAGGGCTAACCCTGGAAATAGCTTGAATGGATAGGTTTCTCCATGGCCATGTCTAAAATGGTTTATCTTATATAGCTTGAAAGCCAGGATTCTACGTGTAGGTGGCGTCTACGTCTATACATTAAGAAGTGAGGTGAAAGAGACTGAAGATGATCCACGTCATCTGCTATCAAGAAGCTGTTTTATCCTGGCCTTAGCCCAAAATCCTGGATTCCAGACTAATGTCATCCAACTTCACATGTACAGGTAAAAACTGTAGGCGAAGTAAGGTGAAGGGCGTACATTGATGATGAAGAAAACAGAACTATGGACATTATGGACATTGTAGATGTACATTTGTATAGTAGCACCGTTTTGTGTGTAACCTTAGTTGGCAATTAAGGAAATTGAACTACGCTCATCATTTACAACGTATTTTCTGAAAACAGAACTTAGCCAAGCAACTAGGCATTGCAAGGGCTAACCTTGGAAATAGCTTGAACGGATAGATTCTTCCATGGTCAAAAAATGAAGGCTATTGTTAAAGCGGTTTATCCTAGCCTCAAAGCCAGGATTCTAACCCAAAATCCTGGATTCCAGACTAATGTCATCCAACTTCACATGTACAGGTGAAGAAACTGTAGGTGATGCAAGGTTAAGGACGTACATTGATGATAAAGAATAAAGAACGCTTCCTGTCAATTATACAGGAATCTGAGTATTTCTTCCTCGACATTATAACGAAGTTAAGACTGTTTTGTTTGCAACCGTAGCTGTCAAGGAAATTAAACTGTGTTCACCATTTACAAACTATTTCCTGAAACCAAGATCAATTTCGACGTTGAGTCGATGTGACAGAAATTAAGAAAAAACATCAATCAGGAAATGTTTCTGGTTTATTCTTTGATGTAGTTTGCATTTGTTAGCTGTAAACAGTGTAAATACATAGTATATTACACGGTAACTACAGCGAAAGCTGCATGACTTTGGTGTTCAAATTGGGGTGTCCAAATTGGGGTGTCCAAATCTCCATGGCCTATATGCATTCCTCTGCCAAGGGACTGAAATCTAATCTTCGTGACACAAAATATTTTCGTCAGCTTAAAATGACACATCTAAAAACCAAAATTTTACTCAATGAAAAATTAGTTTCTAAAAGTGTTGGAACAAACTCTTAAGTATATGTAAAAATATAACATCTTTTAGATGTCATGGCCTCCATATCTTAACAAGTTAATCGAGGCTTACTTATGATAATAAATATTTACTGCATTCAATGATGAGTAAACAATGTAACAGCACTTTCAAGATAATACACAATATATACATCACCAGTAATTACATAAATATTCCCCTAAATTTCAGCCTGGAATATGACTACATATAACTCACATACAACTTCGGGCTCAATTAAATGTTATTGATGAGAACAAATATAGTGTTTATTACAGGTTCAAATATTTTTCCTTACTTTTTTTCATTGAGAAGTTTATGAAGCTCGTGTAATTGAGTACAAGTACATATCGCCAAGATTAAAACTGTATGGTAACTGAAACTAATCATTTTTTTTACAAACTGATGGATATTGTTTTGTTATTTGCATTGTTATCAAAATTAAAGTATGATGTATGTATGATTTATAAATTTTCAACTCCTTCCCTAGGCTTTAGTGATATAATTTAGTATGTAATTCTTTTATTAGAAAATTGCTAGTCATGCTTTGTAAGCTTTTTTCTTAGCTTGCACAGCTTCATATATATTATAGGTACGTCAATTTTTGTTGATTGTCCTGGCATATTTTTTCAAAGTTTATTCAAGCAAAAAGCCTTTTTTTCTGTTCAATACACTCACTACTAACTTGCAGTTCCCTCCTATCTTAATTTAGCATGTTTGTTTGCATCTTGCATTGGCTACATCAATGCTGTGAAACATTTTATAACTGAAAAAGAAACACATAAAAATTAATTTCCTAATTCTTTAAAAAAACACAAAAAATCGACAATTTTATAAACCGGGCAATTGTGTGTTTATAAATATGTGGAAATGAAAGCTGTTAACCCTCACACTTGTGAGTTCCCTAAACCAAAGTTCCACACAGATAAAAGGGTTAAAAGGGTATCAAAATAGAGGTGATAAAATGACAATGACAGAAAGCAGCAAGATATATAAAATACATATTTTAACATTCATGTGATGTTCATATCAATAACAAATCATAAAATGATTCTTCAGAAGACGTTGAATAACCTGCCGTGACTTTATACAGTATAATGACTTGCCTTGGCTTCGAATGTACTAAAATAGTTATTCATCCTGCCACACACACATGTAACTTTCAAGACCCTCTTAATGCCATTCAAAATCCCACTCAATGCCATCTCATATAATTACTACCAGTCCCACAATAATTGTGCTGATTGCATATGGCAAATTTGAGAAAAAATAACTTGCCAGCGATTTAAAGAAATATTGATTTAAAAATGGAGATAAAATTTGTTTATTTTAAGATCTGAAACATTGAAATGTAGAATATAGTTGGCCTCGAGCAAAAATTCTTTCTAACAAGGCTGAGGCAATAAAAATCATTGCCAAGGCGACGACTGAATGATATATATTATTTCATGTGGTGGAGCTAGCAATCTACATTACAATTATCAGAAAAACATATTTCCCTATGTTATAAAGACATGCACGTAGTGAAATTTACAGGCTGGGTGGAGGAGGTGTGGGGCAATATACCAAATACACGTATAGGAGGAATCAGCCGTTCTTCCCCAGCAATATAGATTTTATGATGACATAACTTACTTACTTTACTTTGGTCGAGTTCCCGCTAGAACCAAACTGAAAACCATCCTCCACTTCACTCTATCCTCCACCAGAGACTGGATTTTATGTCTGGTCTGAAGTTGTTACTCCTTTGACTTTTTTTAACCTTTTGTGGGTTCCAAAAGGACTGATAATTTCTTTTCTCTCTGTGACCTGTTTGAATATGGTCTTTGGCCAAAGACAGCTGTGCTCTCTGCCCATGGTGTTGGGAGAAGACTGATGACCAGTAATTAATCATGCCAGGCATCTGGATGGGTGGCACGTGGGTACCCCGTGTAAGTTACCTGCTTGATCCAAAAACCACATGGCCGAAGGTTTCCTCCAAACCAATTCCCTGGGGAACGCATTCGTGCAATTTTTGAAATTCTTTCAAAGCGATCGTAGTACTTACACAAATGCCTCCGCCCCAAAGGCGTCGCCAAAAATATTCTCACAGAATCAAATCAAATCAAATCAAAGCAACATCATCATGAAAGCATGGTCAATCTCTGATCTAAAATTATTGCAGTAACAGTTACCGTGATGCTATCCTAGAATTATACTAAATTGTAGTTTTTATTCCACCCAATATGTAAGGAGCCAGAATAATAATAACTCTTTTATACTTGTAAACAGTGGAAAATGTAATCACTTCAACAAAGTGTGGCCAGAGAAGATGTTTGGTTGTCTATGTTACTTTGCAACATTTGGCTAGAGTTTAAAGCAGTTCTTTCTAACTTGTGGATGTGTATTGCATCAATGTTGGTCTGCTTCGCTGAAAGCTCTGTAAAAATGGGAAGAAATCATGAATTTTAAAAGAATGTGCAAAATTCATTACTTGTAAAACTACATGTGTATTTCTAGCTACAAATGCTCCCAATAAAATGCATTAAATCTATAGCCTTTGGACCACACAGTTATAAAATCCACTGGTAGTATGTTTAACTACCAAACTATGTCTACTAGGTAAAGGTAGTCCCATAGTCTTTTATAAGGCCATAGATGCAGTGGGTTTTTATCCAGTGTCAAGGGAATGGTACTGGATGGCTCTCCTTCCACTGCCTTTTACCTCCCCAACCAAAGTCAGCTACACTTGGGCACATTACAGGGTGACATTACAGGATTCAAACCAAGGACCTCTGGGTTCTGGGCCAGTTGGCCCAGTTGTACCCAGCCTTTATGCTACAAGACCCCACAAGTCATATAAAACCTTCACCTAGTTCTAAAGTTCAAGCTTTGTTCCAATACAAAAAGGGAACTCACCATACATTTTTGTTTGATCTCGTCAACCTTAGTCAGATGTATGATGCACTTGCTGACTCTCCGGAAGTTGGAAGTGTGATGACGTCAGGAGTGCATCAAAAGTGGCGGGAGACTCAGCGAGTGCATCACACATCTGACGAAGGTTGACGAGATCGACCAAAAATTTATGGTGAGTTCCCTTTTTGCATTGGAACAAAGCTTGAACTTTGCAACTATGGACTACCAATACAGATGAGCTTTTATTCGAAAACCTTTACCTTTTTAATGGCACAGAAATGCCTCTGTGTGTCCTCATGCCGTGCTCGGATGTGGGAGTCATGCCTGATCCCTGGATCATACCACTGTACACGTTCATGGCCACCAGCAGGCAACACAGCAGGATGGGACCAATCAGAGCTCCCTCCAAACCCGCGATGTAGATCCCTCCTGCCACGGCCAGGCCCGTCAGGTACGGGTGACCGCCTCTGTGCACAGAGGACGGGATTCATTTATTGAGACCCCACTCACACTCACACTCACACTCACTCACTGTGTCGAGCTCGCTCGGAATCTTAAAACCCTTGTCCTGCTGTGCGCAACATATGTCGCGCGGCACATACAGTACCATCTATATTACACCCTGTATATGTACGATTTGGGGGTATTTCTCGTGCAACGCATCACACCGCAGCGAAACACAACGAGTGCAGAAGTAACTATGCCACTGCGGGGCAAAAAAATTTGGGGATCTATGATCTAATTAAGACATGAAATTATTGAAAAATATTGTGCCAGGAATGCCAGCAGGACAAGGGTTAACATGACTATATCTGTCTCCATTTCTCTCTGTCCTCCATTGCTGTAGGTCTATATTTATTCCACTGTAGGTTTAATGTAAGTCAAGTGTGGTCTTCTGCGACTTCTGTTTCCATGACTCGGGTTCCACAGTAAGAGTTCGTGTACTACCTCATCCTTTTTCCTCCAACAGTGGCCTACAGAACGTAGTCTCCTTTGCCGTATTGTTTCAGCAGTATACTAGTATTCTTGTATAGCTCATGAAATTCTCCATGAGAGAGCCATATAACCTTCTCTCCAGGGTTTTTGTAACTGTTCAACACTCCTAGGGGGCTTCCCAGGAAACCTTGAAATCATAACCTCTAAAACTCTATTTCCTGTATTTTGAGGGGCATTTTGAGGCACTTAATACCTACTCACTAGTGTTTCGTCAGGTTTGTAAGTACAAACTATTGTCAACTCACCAGTGTTACTGACGAAAGGTAGTGGATGCTACCAAAAACGTCTGACCGTTTCAAAAATCATATCCAGTTGCTAGAATATCCAGTTGCTGTTTTTTGGCGTAAAATTGAGATGGCCGAAAAATATTCAGGCTAGCTAGATCAATTCTTAGGATATTTCTCACCCTTTGATTTCACTGTAGATCGCTGTGTCTACAAATGACATGGGTATGAGATGACACACGGCCAGTAGGATGGCCAGGACACTCTTGTCTTGTACCAACCAGAGGTCCAGTACCGCAGGCAGGGCTGCCCAGTACGTACCCACGAACGGTACGGCCGCAAACACTGCCGCCAGGGCTGCAAACAAACAAACAAAAAGCAATCAGGGATGACAGACTTCACACCACCTTCATCTATACTGATTTGCAAAGCTTTTAGTCCCACAGACAAGTAAAAAGCAACACTGGGGGTGTATGGCAATGTTGCATTGTGTATATTGGGAATCACACAAACATATAGTGTATAAAAAGTCATACATTCAAGGGAATTGTTGATTCCCTTGGGGTTAAGTAACAAGAAAGATAGTTTGTTGTACAATGTAGATGAAAAATATCTCCTTAGACAAGTAATGTGGGGTTTGAAAGACTTGTTTTGCACCATCAACATAACCATTTTTGCACTTTTCACAATACTAAAACACCATCAACAGTACTGTTGCACTTTCCATGGTACTAAAACACCATTAGCAATACCAGGGCACTTTTTGTGGTACTGAAACACCATCAGCAGTGATATGGCTCTTTGCATAGTACTGAAACACCATCAGCAGTAATATGGCTCTTTTCATAGTACTGAAACACCATCAGCAGTACTATGGTACTTTTCATGGTACTGAAACATCATCAGCAGTAATATGGCTCTTCTCATAGTACTGAAACACCAGCAGCAGTACTATGGTACTTTTCATGGTACTAAAACACCATCAGCAGTAATATGGCTCTTTTCATAGTACTGAAACACCATCAGCAGTGATATGGCTCTTTTCATAGTACTGAAACACCATCAGCAGTACTATGGTACTTTTCATGGTACTGAAACACCATCAGCAGTAATATGGCTCTTTTCATAGTACTGAAACACCATCAGCAGTACTATGGTACTTTTCATGGTACTGAAACACCATCAGTAGTACCATGGCTCTTTTCATAGTACTGAAACACCATCAGCAGTACAATGGCACTTTTCATGGTACTGAAACACCATCAACAGTACCACAGCACTTTCCATGGTACTAAAACACCATCAGCAGAACAAGGGCACTTTTTGTGGCACTGAAACACCATCAGCAGTACTATGTCTCTTTTCATAGTACTGAAACACCATCAGCAGTACTATGGTACTTTTCATGGTACTGAAACACCATCAGCTGTACCATTGCACCTTTCGTGGTACTAAAAACCCATTAGCAACAAATCATAGACTACCTTACCTGATGGTATGAAAACAATGTTGATCCCAAATACAGTGTGTGTGAGCCAGGTGTAGAGGCCGTAAAATACAGCCATCTTCAGAGATGCTCCAAACACACTCCTAGAAATGACATTGATGAAGGTTAGACATCCAGATAGATTACACATTACAAAAAAATATGTAAAAACAAGGTACGGTCTCTAATATACTTTAATTACACAAACCTGATTACACAATATAGTTTGAATTAGTGTTCTATCCAGCGTTTGTCTTTCCATCATTTGATGGAATTTTGGCCATCATTAGTACGAACAAAAATTTTGCCCAATCTGTCATCTTTAACAACACAATATTGGCATGTAAAAATAGGGAAATAGATATCATTAAAGTAAGCTTAGTCTACCAAGAAAATCTGCCCCTCAAAATACAGGAAATAGTGTTTACAGAGGGTCATGTCGCCAGACCATTCTAGGATTGTTGTGCCTTTGGTGCTTGGCATGATGTTATGCCAAACAAAATTGAGATGACAGGCTGGCAAGTCTAGTTTGAACACATTATATTCAAAGTTTTGTGTATTGACAGGACCCTGAGTATTGGACTATGACTTTGTTTCAATGCATTGGACTTTTATATTTTCATGTTTACTGTGTGTCCTCCATTGTTTGTATGTAACAATGTCTTATCTTGTAACATGCTGCATGGGCTCCCTTGGAAAAACAGCTATTGTAGGCTGAATGGAGCCACCCAGCCGTCCTAAGATGCAATAAATAAATACAATGTACCTGATAGCTTCCTCCACTGTCTGCCCCAGTCTGTTAGTGGACCCGCCCTGTCCAGGACTAGGGAACAGGTTCACGATCCACTCCACCGGTTTGTACTGGTTCTCACTCACACTCAGGAGATAGAACAGGGTGGTCAGGAAAATAACCTGGCAAACAAGAAAACTGCTTTTAAAAAGGTTGACAGGGGCCAAGATGGGAATAGCTGGTATTTATTATTTACATTTGTATTTTATTTCAGTGGTACTGGAAAAAAAGTAGTTACACAATTTGAGCACGTCGGCAGAACGTACTGCGCCTGCGCAGAACCCTGGATTTTTGTGTTTTTAGTTGGATTTTTGGTCAACGTTGCATCAGAATTTTCACTGTTGCAGAGGATATCTTTTCTGACACAACATTTGGAAACTACTGTCAAAATGCTAACCTTATATGAGTGAATACGACCTTATATGAGACATTCTGCCGAAGTGCTATGTACAATACATTACGGGTTTCGCGCAGGTGCAGTACGTTCTGCCGGCGTGCTCACAATTTGAGTCATTTGTGTGATGATGTGTGACTCAAATAATTGGTCATCTTGGTGACTTGAATTGGACTATTTGTTAGTAAGACTGAACTTAGGTATATGCCGCTTATAATTGTAATGTATTCATTAGCCCTTTCTAACTTAGAAGACATTTTATAATTGTTTATTAGCAGTTATGTGCGGCAAAGAATGTTTCATTCAGCCAGTCTTTCCCTCCTGACATCTGCTTGGTTTTCATACATATGGCAATGTATGACAGAATGAAACCACCACTGAACATTTTCCCTGCAACCCCATCATAATTAGAGAATTGGTTGCAAAATGGCTATTTCAGTGTAATAAATGTTAAATTAGTGTTTTCCATAAGTTTTACTAAACTTTTGATCTGATTGGATGGCGACAGGCCAAGAAAATAATCTAAGGCAATGAAAATAATCTTAGGACCCACTAAAACGTGTTCACAACATGTGGCAATTACAAAGAGATGGACCCTAGTACTGGTTTCAGTACAACACTGTCAGGAAGACATTCACAGTATAAGATCTTTGATTTTTTAGTTTGACGACAGATTTGATGAAAACTCACAGTAGACAGGACAAAGTTGAGGATGGCAGTCCCACTGAAGAACACAATAGATATTGTAGCTGTCACCATAGTCAGGGCCAGGTTGATATTTCCCTTCAATACGGACCAGATGGACTCAAGAACCTGGAAGAAAACACTTTTATCATTACAATTACACAAAATTTGTAAATATATTTAGGCCACACTCACTTTAATTTCATGGATGACCCCCAAACTAGTGAGTGCGGGCAAAAAAACAAATTTCAGCCAAAAGAAATTATTATATGTAGATGTTCAAGACATTTGTCAGAAGGCCTAAATATGGTAAGGGAATTTAGTAGTGTTAGAACATTAAGTTCAAACAGCTGAATTTAGTCTTATAGCAGACTTTCTGCTGGTTTGCTATAAGGCCAGCTGAGTATGTTACCCCCTTCTCTAGAGTTGGTTTAAACCAAAAATGATAAATGTTAAACCTGTTCTGCAGCTTTTGTTCAAGTGCTAGTTTGCCCTGACAAGGCAGAGATATACATGTACATATAATACTAGACTGGAGGCAATTTTAACCTGCATTACATACATGCACCTGCAATTCCTGCATTTAGTCCATTTGAAGAAAGGCAATTTTCTAAATCCGATCAGGCTCATATTGCAAACCATTCTTCTGTGTTCAAAGGTTTATGTACATGTTGTACTAGTGATGTGTTGAAGCATATTACATTACATTGTTGTTGTACACAATATACAATGTAGGTTGGAAATTTGCATGTAGTTCTCTGGTAAGCCAACAGAGGGTGCTAATGCACAGTAGTTCTATTAGCCTAATAGATGATACTAGCATCTTATTTTACAAGACAAGGACCAATGTATCAAAATGGGGTGGCCTTGCTTTGGATTTAGGGCATAATATTCCAAGGTAAATGATGTAAAATATACCCTACACTTGTTAGTAAATAGGAAAAAGTGGCCTTTTTTGAGGCCATGGGGGAAGTGCATTGTAGTCCACTGTGTCTGGAACACTGTATTGGAAGGCAGAGCCCAACCCTCTCTTTACACTGCCGTTTACCTCCCTAACCGAAGTCAGGTACCCATTTTACATCTGGGTGGAGTGTGGAAAGTCTTGTTTTGATACATGTAAAGTGTCTTTCCCAAGGACACAATGTTTAGCCAGGAATACAACATATCCAACTGTGACCTCTCGATCTCATGTCCACTCATGTACAAGATACTGGAAATCTTGATGTTTTCATGATAATGCTTTTATTTCATGAAATAACCCCTCTACCATGAAATCATGACAATGACAAAAGAATACTATGCATTTCTATCATTATTGTTCTTCTACAGAATGTTTCAACCACTAAACTTAACAATTTTGAAACTGTAAAAAAATATCCTTTTCCCCCTACTGTGAAATTAAAATTATGTAAGTACCCATGAAAAAAAACCAATTAGACTAGTACCAAGCTTAGACAGCAGAGAAAGAAATTCAGTAACCTAATTATGGAACGAATCAATGTTATACAATAAATAAGTCACTTTTAATACCAAATACAAAAGTCATGTAATTGATTTTAGCCTATGGCCAAACTACTGAGGCCAAATCTAAAGTTTCTAGTACACACAATGTACAATTAAGATTGTTATATATTATATTGTATTATGACCACTAGGACTTGACTTTACTCTCTTATATAGTTATTATAGTTATATATTATATAGTTTGTGAACTGGTATTCTTATGGGTATTCTGACTTATAGATTGATCTATCATCCCATACAGATTTAGATGTTCTGAAATATGTTGACACAGTAATCTTCATATACAGTATTAGTTATTACCAGCTGTCCCTGTGTTGCCATAGCAACAGCCCATGGTGCCCCAATGTCTTTCGTGATGTGTTTGAGGAATTTTCCTGTCTTGTCAAACATCTCCACACGGCTGTTTTCCCTGTCTGCCACGATGATGTTCCCTGCCTTGTCCGTACAGATGCCTTGGGGCTCCTTCAGCTGACCTTCACCACTTCCCTCACCTCCAAACTGGAACAGAAACTGTCCGTCCTCGTTGTACACATAGACGCAGTGTTTCATACAGTCAGACACAAGAATGTTCCCTTCCCCGTCCACAGTGATGTACCGTGGGTTCTTCATCCCCTGCTGCTGACCCACAGTTCTCACAAGCGTTCCATCTGGCCTGAACACCAGAACTTCACCACGCATGTTGGGCCAGTCTCCTGTGGTCTGTGTGATGAGGATGTGGTTCCTCCTGGTGTCCACGGCAATTCCTCTGATGCATTTTGACTTCTGTAGCTCAAACTTCCTCAGCACGCTGCCCTGTTTGTTGTACTGTACAGCAAACTCAGCATAGTCTGTCCGTGGACACACCAATCTCCCCACCACCCACAGGTTCCCCTCCCCGTCCATGGCCACATCTGTAGGCTCCATCTCCTGTTCCTCTGTTCCCAGTACTTTTGGGAACTGTCGGACAAACGTTCCCTGTAGGGTGAATACTTGTATCCTCTCATTCCTGAAGTCTACAACAAAGATCTCCCCATCCTCTGACACTGTAACACCCAAAGGACCTTGAAACTGTCCTGTTCCTGATCCAAATACTCCAAATGTTACCTTCTGAGGCTGTTGTACTGGCCCCAAACTCGACGATGCAGCCGCCATGACTTGTTTTCTCTGCAAATGTGGCAGCCCCACCCAGAGCTAAAGTGCACAGCCAACGTGCTGTGGACTAGGACTAAAATATAAAATGTGAGGGAGACTGAATGAGTATGTTACCCCGAGGGTCCCCTATGGTGTGTCACAGTTGGTTTAACCCAACATTGATAATTGTTAACAAAACCAGTTACCCCCAGGGTACACTGGGGTGAGAGCTTAGTTTAACCCAACATTGATAATTGTTACAGTAACAAAACCAGTTCTACAGCTTTTGGTCAGAGAAGGCAGAGATATGATAACTAGACTATAGACAATAATTTGCAATACACATGTATGTATGCAATTCCTGCATTAATATATATATATAATATGCTTCAACACATTACATGTACTTCTGGTGAGTAACTACAACATGTATAGCCTGGGTGCCATCCAATTTGTAACGGGCTTCGGGGTAGCCATTACAAATTGGATGGCACCCAGGCTACAACATGTACATACAGTGTAGTGCATGTATCTTTTGAACAAAGAAGAAAACACAAGTCTTAGAATGGTTTACGATATGAGCCTGATCAGATGTAGAAAATTCCCTTTCTTCGAATGGACTTAATGCATACAGTTCTCAGGTTAGTCAACAGAGGGTGCTAATGCACATCAGTTCTATGGCCCAGCTTGTAACTGTACTTACAGACATGAGTGTGCTCATGTTCTCCTGTACAAACGAAGTGACCTCAGACAGCCCCAGATGACTGACACCATGCCAGACACTCATCAGACTACTGGTCATGTTCCCGTGTTTGGACAGTTTACTGGACACAACTGTAGTATTCTGGGGAAAAAAGGGGGAGACATGGTGGCTACTCTTTGAACTTGTCGAAAAGAGCTATTGGAATTTCCCCGGTACAATGAACCTGTAAATACTGTACATAGCGTCTGTCTTCTCTGTCACGACCAGTGGAAGATTAGCTCTTCAATGAGCTAAACTGGTTTGAGATCACTTTCTTTTCTTTGAATTTGAATTGTGAATGCTTGAAATCAAGGAGATTTAAGTGGAGACTCCTTGTTGAGATAGTCTGTTACAGATAGTAGATATTGTTCAAATACTAGCAAAAAAAAATAAAAAATCAAGCTAAGCTTGTACATGGTGCAATGAACCCAACTTCAAAATTTCATAAAAAAAGGTTTTGTGCTTTTTTTCTGACACTTAAATGTTTAAAATATGCTGTATGTATACTAGTACATGTATCTTTTTTATGTCATGTATTTTACCATACACCAATATACCACTAGAGCAAAGTACAAGTCATGTACAAAGGGGCAAATTTTGCTGGTAAGCTTGGTTTAATGGCATCTCTTTCCATATCTTTGCACACCGATATTCATTTGTCAAAGATGATGGATTGGGCAATTTTTTTGTTAGTCATGAGTGACAAAATTCTATCAAATGATGCAAAGACAGACGCTGGACACTGAACTAGATAAATAAATTTATATAAGTTAGGGTAGAGTTTTAGTTTACTTTGGCCAGCCAGGTATGGTACAGTCGATCCCAGATCTCCAGAACTTGTCGCTTGATCAGCTTTTTATCCACCGGCTGCCCTGACAGCCCATCGTTGATCTGAGAACAATAAACAACAATAAGTTATTGTCTGTAAAATGCCACCAGACTAATATGACTAGTAACACCACCTACAACAAGAAATATGAGATTCCAAACTTCCAGGATTCCGGCAAGTATATGATACATAATGTTCACAACAACTACTAAGTCTTGTAATTTCAGACAATCATTCAGAATGATGAATTTAGGGTTGGAAATTCATTTTTGGGAATACACATGTAGGTGCACTGGTGCACCCAACCTAAAAAGTTAGAAGTTAAAAAAGTGTTATTGAGGCCTTTCCTTGAGAAACATCAGGTGTCTGCATTATCTGGGATCACAAGTGATGATGCATTAGTGCATCTCTTTAAATTTACCATGTTTAAGACACAACAAGTAGTGTAATCAAAGGTTATCAAATAGATAAATAGATAGAAATAAATAAATAAAAATATAGATATCTGACCTTTGCTGCAATCCACTCTCTCCCATACACATAGGCGTTGTCCATCATGGAGTCCATGGTAGTTTTTATACCTCCACTGTCTGACAGCCATCTGTACAGTACACAGTAACACTGATATATAAAAATTAAAACTTTATATTTGAATCTCTCAACTTTTTTATAGGTGACTATAAGCTAATAGGGAGCTATATATTCTGAAATTCCAACTCAAAGTTGTGTGACAGGCTGTATAAAAGTTCTAAACGGGAACTACATTTGTATGCAGCTCCAGGTGTCTTACTGAGGGATGACTGCGTGTGCAAGATGTCGGTTATCTTGAGGAATGAATCCCCTCTACTACATGTATATATTCCAACTCAAAGTTCTTATGACTTGTAAAAACGACACTGATTCTAATACAATTAAAAACACAGTCACTTGACTTACTCATTGATGTCTGGATGTAAAGTCTCGTTCAGTACATTACTGGTCACATTCACTAGATGTACACTCTCCTTGTGAACCTGTAGAAATGATGTGAATCTATCAAAATAGGGAATCTTTAAAAGAATAAATAACTTACACAACTATATATATATATATATATATATATATAGTATTCATAAGAATAATTAATCTTCACAAGTAGAGGTTGAGAAGTAAACATAACAGGTACATTATAAATTGACTTGATTATGACACTTTGAAATAATTGTGTAGATTTCTCAGTATTACATTCAACATGGAAATTTGTTGTGTCACCAAGAAAACAACTAGTACAAACATAAACTGTTATTATAGTGATATAAGACATTGTTTTACCTGGATAGCGAGTAGTATAGTGAGGAGCGTTGTACCCACTAACAGTAGGAGGATGACAAATGTACTGGTCAGGGCATTTAGTGACTTCTCCAACATGTTGGAAATCTGTGGCAGGGAACATCGTGATACCTTCAGCTTTATAACTCTGAGTATACAAATGTACAATGTATGAAAAAAACATAATCCCTAACCCTCAGACCCTAATCTTTTCAGGACTGAAACATGATTTTTTTTTCCTAGGCCTTTGTATCAAACTACATTATATCAAACTTTATTCAATCAACTTAGCAGTCAACTGAATTGTGTTAACATTTTGTCAATTAAAAAGACAATACTGTCATTTAACTATATTCTATCAGTTAGTAATTACATTACAAGATTAATTAACATTAATAAACATTAATTGTGTCAATCAATTAATTAATAAATCAAGGGTAATAAAGTTTGACCTTTTTATCCCCCTGTAAGAAGAGTTTCCAGAGCCCCCGGATAGGTTTTGGTGCCAGGGCCTCTCGCCGGACTGACAGCCACTCTTTAGCTGTCTGCTTGTGCTGCTGTAGTTTAGTCTGGAACAGCTCCCATGTGCTGACTTGGACAGCTATCTTCTTGAACAGCAACACTGCAAGGTGATAAAAAAAAACATACCAAAGTCCAAATCTTGAAAATGTTCATGGTATAATGTTCCAGACAGCGTCTTTTTCCCATCATTTGACAGAATTTTGCCACCCGGACGGACAAAAATTTTGCCCAATCCGTCATATTTGAAGGAAAAAATTGACATGATATGGAAAAGATGCCATTAAACAAAGCATTGTATCAAGTCTTCTAGCTAAATTTGCACCACAAAATGCAGCAAAGAGCAAACAATTTGTTACACCTAACCTTTGCACATTGTAATAAGTCATTTAAAGCTTTCTATTGATGATGCCCCAACTGTGCTTGGTGGCAACGAGTTCCACTCTATTATAGTCCTTGGATGAAGTTTTTGAACACCTTAATTCTTGATTGAACTCTGATATTTAAAGGCATGACTGTTTCTTGTTCTTTTCTGGGCTTGTATTCTGTTCAACTTACCACTAAGTGGAATGGGTAAGAGCTCCAGTATCCATAGGTTCATCCATAGTCGCACCACCACAATAGCGTACACCAACCACAGGATACACGTGGTACTGAACGGCATCTGCTTTGCCTTCTTCCTCGCCAGCGTGGATTCCAGCGAGGACTTGCTCTGCCGTTTGGGCGTGTCCGGGAAAGACGACGGACGGATGGTCTCCGCCGCGGGTGGCTGTTTCTGAGGCGATGTTTCGCTGTCGCTCTGTTCAAACATGGTGGTGCTCACTAGGTTACCTGAATAAAACAAAAGATCAACAGGCTGGTTTTTTTAATGTTTGCCTTCAAAGAAGCAAAACACAAATGTTTTTGCTGTGTTTCTTCTTTTTCTTCTCCAAACATACATTGTATATAAGGTCAAGGAACTGGACCAGATGTCTGTCACCATGGTAACTGGTGCTGTAGCAGTCACCCTGTGGTATTGGACTACATTATGTAGCAAGACAGAGTTGGAGGAGCTGGTCACCATATAAATGCACTAGTAGATGAATGTGTTTGAGTATTAACAGATCAGTAGTTTGTTAAGCAAGACCATGAGGAGGTAAACATTGTGCATTTGCTTTGCAAATTTTTAGCCTTCCTAGGTTGTTTTTTTTTTCCTTCTGCATGCTACTTTGTAAGAGACAACAAAAATAGACATTATTACTGAAAAAATTATAATGTATCACTGCACAGACATCAATTATGATCAAAAAGTATAATAAGAACGAGAACAGGAAAAAAGTACAGATTGAAAAGAAATTTACAACAATTACCATGTATAGCGTACAGGTCGAACGTTTGGCTATATGGAGAGATCTGAGTGACAGGGGTGGAGGGATACGAGCGTGACAAGCCCAGCCCGACATAGGTGTGCTTGGGCCTTTTCACTGCCAGGAGTTTTGTGAGGAAAATAGTGCAGAAGAGAAAGAAAGAAAGAAAGAACAGGAAAACAGACAGAAGAAAAGAAGCACAAAACAGAATTTTGTAGCAAATAAGTCTTAAGTCAAACAATAATAGTGTGAAGTTTTCCAACAGGGGTACATCAGTAGTAGGCTGACAGTAAAATGACCTTCCCCCAATAAAGAACTTTAAGATAATACAATTTTTGATGATGATAACAGAACTGCCTCCCACCCTGGTTATATGTGGATGTAGGTTGAGTCTGCTTTCTCCTGAACATCTTTGCTGGTAACAGGATGATAGATGGCCCAGTGTTACTCATTTAAAATGATTAAGATCAATTTGATAATGAAACTTATTTTTAAATACATTTAAAACATCTGAAAAATTGGTTTTTATGTAAAACTGATTTTCCAAACTGTCAGTCATGTATCCGAAAATAGTTTCATCAGGTTGGTAAAACTTAAGAGATAGGGGAATTCTTTTTTACACAACCAAAGAGTCTCACCTCGCTGACGTTTCGGTGTCTGTCAGACACCTTCTTCAGAGCTTCTGACTGGAGTACTGCATCTCGCCGCTATATGTAGCCGATGTAGGTGGCGCTTTTGCGGCGAGAACACTATCCCAAACGTGGCCAGTACCTGAATTTCCAATCTCACCATCCCCTTCACCAAAAACTCGGAGTCATTCGCACCTTACTAGACCGGTGCAATGCAGTAGTCACTGAAGATACAGACAAAGCACTAGAGACACAGCATGTCAAGAAAGCCCTAACACGGTGTGGTTACCCACCATGGACATTTAAGAAAGTGGAACAACGAAGTAAGCAACCTAAGCAGAAGGATAAGAGCAACAAGCAGGAAGAAAAACGAGGGCCATGGTCATCATCCCCTATGTCAAAGGAATCACAGAGCCCCTTGAGAGAGTGTTTAGAAAACACAACATCTCCACCGCAGTAAAGCCAAAAACCACACTGAGGAGTCTGTTGGTCCACCCAAAAGACAAACTACAGGACACGGCAAAAACAGACTGCATATACAAGATCCCGTGCAAGAGCTGCAGTGAAGTTTACATAGGGGAAACGGGACGCACATTTGGGACAAGATTAGAAGAACACAAGAAGGAAGCTGACAACATGGACACAGTGAAGTACACAAGATCACAGAAAAGACATGCACAAAAAGAAGAAAAGAAATCAGCAGTGACAGATCACATTGCTAGAAACAACTGCGTAATTGACTGGGAGGGGGCGAAAGTTATAGACAGAGAAGACAATAGAAGAACCCGCTGGATCAAGGAGGCAGTTTGGATCAGAAAGTCAACCCCTGTAATGAACCGGGACGAGGGGGGGTACAAACTAAGCCATGTTTGGGATAGTGTTCTCGCCGCAAAAGCGCCACCTACATCGGCTACATATAGCGGCGAGATGCAGTACTCCAGTCAGAAGCTCTGAAGAAGGTGTCTGACAGACACCGAAACGTCAGCGAGGTGAGACTCTTTGGTTGTGTAAAAAAGAATTCCCCTATCTCTTGTCAGTCATGTAACTACCAAAAAATTGTATGTTGTACAAATCAAATCAAACTGAAAATTTTGAACTTAGTTACAAACATATAGCCCCATGCAATCATACCTAGAATATCAGCTGTAGCTCCTGCCCTCAACTCTGCCACAAACCCCACCACCATGATGGTAACCACGGCGACAAACAGGGGGACCCTGAAGGGTCCGGCAACGGTTGCTAGGTGGAGCAGCAGCACTGCCCACACCGGGATGGAGAGCACTTTGAGTGCCGTGCTTGTTCCCGGTTTCCACCAGAACACAACAGCCACAAGATACGCGATGACTGTCGTCCATACCTGCATGAAATAAGACATCAAATATCTTATTGTGGATCATAAAATTCATGTCGAAGTTGTAATGCAATAACAGGGTTAGACCTTTGTGCCATCCTCCATAGTCCATGGTAGCTAGCGACAATAGAGACCCGACTGTAAATACGGAAGACATCAACCAGGCTACTGAAGCTCCACGGAACTCTAGAACTCAGTACTGTGGCAATTCATAAATGCTACAAAAGTCCAGCATGTGCTGGCCTGTCATCAAAAGGTGCTATGTAATACCGCAAATTCACAATACAGCTTTGTATTCCTGTGGTTTAGCAGCATTTTTTTCTGGCCTGGAATTTTTTTATATTTTCCCGCACGCACCAGTTTGGGGGTCATCAGAGGCTGTCATACATAAAATTAAGTCAGTGTGACCTTACCGATAGTAAACTCACCCAGATAGCACTGAAGTATCCCAACATGTGGTACACTGCATGGACCAACCCCTGCACAGCAAGCAGCATCTTCTCCAGCGGGCCAAAGTAATACAAGAAGTACACTGCCGGCATCCCAAAAGCCACCCCAAGGATGAGCTTCCACTTCCTCGAAGCGAGGCCCCCTAGCAGGTTAGCCGAGTAGTTCACCGCCGTGAGCGGCAAGATGGCCACCCCCACCGCAAGCGGGGTGTCCGAGTCGCTCAAACTCTGCAGCCAACCCTGGACAAAGTTGGTGATCTGGTATTTGAAAGGGTAGAGGAATGTACCGCAAAGTACGGCCCAGAGAAGCGGTCGGAGGAAAGCTTCCAGGACAAAATATACGGCCACGGCGGCGCCGATTGCGAAGAGTATGAAGAGGTTTGCGGCGGTGTTGTAGAATGCCTGTTTCAGGGGTTTCTCGTGACCCTGGGGGAAAAAGTGCAGCATGCTGTGGAGGGGAGACCCCACACCAGAGGGGCCAGGCAGTCCTGACGAGGATTCTGTAAAAAAGATTTAAATCAAACTCAGCACAACAAATTGAGAATCCAATTTCCAACCATAATTATAAGCTGAACTGTCCGAAAGCCAAAACTAATCAGTGCTAGAATTCAATTGTTAGTCACTGACCAATTCTTACAGTAATAACAAATTGAAATTAAGTTGGCTTTTAGCCACATCATATATTACTGGTCAAATTACTAGTAGCTAAATGGCAACAATCTCAAATCAGAATAAAAGCATGCAGAAACATGCAAAATCATGAATTGGACATCTAAATTGATTTAGTGCTTTATTTAATAATTAATAGCCTTACCACTTCTTGTTGAGGTTGACGACATTGTATGAGGTTTTGTGTCAATCCACCGGTCAGTAAGAGATTTTCAGCACTTTAAAATCAGCTTTACTGTGCTGCAGCCAGCAAATACTGTGCAATGAGCACCATCTGAAAAATAAACACAGAAAAATGCATTCGATGACGATTCTTGTACAATATTTCTTTTGCAGCAAAAACAGAATTAATAACTGACAAAACGACAGGAAATTAGGTAACCAGAGATGCCAGATGCCCAAAACAATATTTCACCCCCTTGGGGTATTTAGTAATACTAAAAACCATACCTGCTGCTTTAGCATCATACAGTAGTTGTACAGGTAAAACCCTTTTAATAGAGTGCCTCAAGCATGACCAATTCTGGTTTATGACTACTAGTACATGTGAATTCTCCTATGAAATAGATTTTGGAAGCATGCCAGCCATTGGTCATCAGCTTTAAGTATGTGAAATGCACGTAAGACCAATAATGCATAGAATGGTTGGCATCTTTTCAACAATGGGGTGGTGTTATTAGCATAGAATTGATAAGTCCATCACATGAGTGTTTTTGTTAGATATATCATAACTGTTAGAAGGGAAAGAAAACAAATGTAGATTATAAGGAAACTTTACCCTTGGATGCAAGACATGTATTAATTCTATGGTTCCAGTGCACTGACGTCATAACCACAATTGATGTCTTTAAGAAGAACTTTATTGCGCAACAGATGTAGCGGCAAAATATACATACGTATGATATTGTATGTTAGTTGGTGATGGTAACATATATACATAGTTGGTGATGCTAAAAATATCTAACAGTTCTACTTACTGTACTAAGAATCTGGTCTACCTTCATAAACAATGTATGATAATAAAGAGACACTAATTATACTAGCCTAACTCTATTGATAGTAATATATTGTATCAGGAATTCTAACTATTACATTCTCTCGTTTTGTCAGTGAATTGTGTAAAAATTGGCCTACATTAGTACATATGTGGATAATTATTGACAGGACATGATAGTAGCATATTGAATATCTCTGTCTTTGTGTGGGGTAAGCGTTATATCGGTCTTACATGTAATATATTGTAACAATTTTTGTCGGTTTTCATCATAGGTTGGGCAATCTATTTTAAAATGTAATCGTTTTCTTAACGCCTTTAGATATAATTTGGTATTTATTAGCTTTCTATATATATAGCCAAGATATTGTTGATTCTTATTAAAGGCATCTAATGCAATTTCAGGGCGACAAAACTGGGCTTTCAATATATACTATTTTAAGATACTTCATGCATGAAAGATTATAAAATATTAATGTTCAAAATCCATAAATTCTGCCACGCCCATTGGCTGACATCCTATCGACTTTATCACAAGTACAGTATCAGGAAAATTTGGTTTTCGACATCTAATATTATCATATAACGTGACAAGACAACGTATGCCAACATATCTCTTTATATCGTCTTGAAAACATAATAAACATATTTTATTGCATCACGAATTGTTTTGGCATCTAAAAATCTATATCAGTGGCCTTTTAACCGAGAAAATTCTGACGGAATACTACGTGACGTAAGCCTAAGAACATCTGGATTTTCTCGCCCGATTTCACACCAATGTATGAAATACTGGAAACGGAATGAAGGCCGATATTTTCCCAATATGGAACGACCGCCCCCCTCCCCATCGGTAACTGAAGGAACTATACCTCATGTAAAAGCTCCATAGACCCTTAGCTATAACGTCACTGCGTCTACAAAGAAAGATAGAGTCGTATAGTACCTACCTTAACCAAGCATGTCGCCTGTCAGCGTTTTAAACAGACGCAGTAACCAGAAATATCCGGTCGCCAAAACAAAACAGAATGGCTGCCGTCGAAACTTGGTCAGGGTTAAAGGTCATACTGTTTCACCTGATTACCCAATACGTCCGTCTCTACGGCATATGTCAGTGTACACTGTACAGTACAAACCACTAATAGCTGCGTGTTCGCATTGTAATAGCTAGATTATACCAGATATTATGTGTTATAGACGTCAAAAATACATCTTTCTATATCTAGATAAATACAAGGAGCTTTAATCATCGACCTCCTTCCGCCTCGGTACTTAAAATGTCATGTAAGTTGGGCATAAAGCCATAAAATTTTATTCTTGATATCATGCCACTGGTCGTCTGTGTTGTTGGGGAAGTTTAAAAGTTTGTTATAGTCCATGTCGAAGTGAGATTTGTGTCATAATACTTTTTGTGGTCGTTCATATGAAACCGAAAATACTTTTGGCCATACGCCCAGCAATGTTAGCACAGGCCTTATGAGAAATTAAACTCTCAGATAGAGTCTGTCTCTCGTGTTCCTTCTGTTATTTTCTCTCTCAGTCTCGCTCTTTCTCTCTTTCTCTTACACACTGACACACACATACATACACACACACACACACACAAATTCACAAACACACTGATACACACACAAATAATGACAAAGAATAACAGTATACAAAAGATTTATTCTGTCAGATGCATATCATCTATCCTTATAGTCTTTATCCTTATTTACATCTATCTACATTTAAGTATAGCGCATGGCCAATGGTAAAGCAGCACAGCGACATCCATGGCACTTCATTGAATTCGTGATATTAGACAGATACAACGAAAATTATATTCCATGCACAACAGCTTATTTACAAATCCATGCCTCAAAGATAATGTATTGTTGAATCACGGCTTTGAAATATGTTACACATGATATGCAGACATTTTAGCAGCAAACGAAAGACGCTTTAAACAATTATGGATACAGTTTGATATTTAAGTTATATGGGTTCGATAGCAGGTTCTGGCAGGAACTTTTGTTCACACTGAAAAACAAACAAAAGAAGATTAGTATTATAGTAATAAACACATTTCTAAAAATAAACCATTACAATAATATAACAACTACCTTGGTAGTCCTTCTCAACCGAAGATGACAGTCAGTGTCCTCATTCACGGTCTACACTTCGCGTCTGTTGTCAGACTTATTATCTTATTCAAAAGTATAAAAAATTATGTGTCTTAAAGTGCAGTAATCTCCAAGCAGATTTTCGGGGGCGATGGCCACCTGTAACCATCAGCTGCCCCACTTGGGCATCGTATTGGGTACCGTTGGCCAATTTGATACTGTGTTGCCGATCTGATACTGTATTGCAGCCATGCCACACAATCTGCTTGGACATGAACTATTACAGAACTATCTTAAAAACCTGGCATTTTGGTCGTGGTGGCTGCATAAGATAAGTTGAAAAACTTCAGTGTGCCGTCACCATGACTAGTCATGAAATGTTGGAATTAAAAGAAGAAAAAAAACACCTGGCATTTTCCAGCACTCCTCGGTCCTGAGCCCGTGAAAGAGAGGTTTGAGCAGACTGTGCCTGGCGACATGCGCCACCTCATCCCACCCGTTACTCGTCTCACACAGGTTGTTTGTAGGGTTGGCAGGATCGAGTACAACAGGCCTGAAGTACAAAATGTATATCAGAAGATGATCCGTGAATAGTTTCATCAGGTTGGTAAAACACCGAATAAAGATACTCTTTTTACACAACCAAGATAAAAATGTAAATATTGTGCGTTTGGGAATGCATCCATAGCAGCGACACCTGTGCTGTAATGCAATGTGAACCAGTCAGAATTGCCCTGAGGAAGGTGACAAACGTCAGCTGAATAAAAGACTTGGTTGTGTAAAAAGAGTCTCTTTACTCAGGCCTGGAGTATACATTGTATCACAAAATTTAAGAGAATTTGATTTTTTTAAGTTGGCCACCTTATGCTTGGGTGACAACTTTTTAAAAACATGTAACTACAAACACAAAAGAACTTCCATGACAATCGTACTGTACTTTATCTTGGAAGTTCATCTGCGTTGGTAGAAGTCATTTTGAAACAAGTTTGGACTGCAATTTCCAACACAAGAAATTGACTTCCCCGAACTCCAGACGGAGGGCGCCATAGACTTTCTGCAACCTATGATCCACTGCTCACTGTGTTATCTGAGTGACGTCACGGAAGCAGTGGATTGCTCATTCCTCGAAAAAGACTGAAGATGTACAGTCGAAAATTTGGGTAAGTCCAATTTCTTGTGTTGGAAATTACAGTTAAACTTTTTTTCATAATTCGTACTGTACCTTGGTCTTTTCAGAATCTTCTGAACGACAGGCCATGACCGTTCGTAGTTGTCGAACCAGGCGAGGCAAATCTCGCGATAACTGACGAGTTGTTGCAGCACAGCACGGAAAGCCTGCGCCAGGGAGAAGTTGATGGGGTGGCCCGCCCGCTCCCAGACGTGGATCGTGATTAGCTCCAGCGTGTAGGAAGACGGCAATCTCCTGTAGCTGAACATGTGAACAAACAAAAAGATTAAACAGACGTCAAATTTTCAACGACCACTGTCACCTTCATCAGGATGATATCGATTAATGACCCATCACTTCAAAACGTAATCTCGCGAGAGTTACGGTTACAGACACATGACCTTATTCACACGAGACTTTATGGACACGTGACGTAAGAAATTGATCAAAAGTGACAGGGAGTTTATATCGTCCACCGTCTCCTGTTGAGTAATGGCTGGAGTGCCCTGATATATATGGCCTCCTTAATGCCTCTTAAAAAGTACTAGTAGTCCTGTTCAGTGTCCAGTATGTCAAGTGTGGCCCAAGGGCTAAGGAAACAGTGATGGGCGCCGCCCTACAAACCATTCGGGGTGCGGTAAGAAACTTAAACTCTTTTTAAATGCCAAGTCTGTGTAAGATAAAAGTACATTACTAAAGTCGTTAAAATAGTCCATAAAGCAACGACGTCGACGGTCAGTATAGTACGATGCCAAACTCTATACGTTGCATCAGAATTTTGCCTTTTACATAAGATATTTTTTTCCAACACAACACAACACAACACAACACAACATTTAGAAACTATACAGACGGGATGTTAACCTTATATGCGCGAATACAACCTTACATGAGACGTTCTGCCGACGTGTTACGGTCAGAAATTGGTCAATATCCTTGGTTACCTGTTGTCCGCCGAAGGTGGCGCGAATGACGTGAGTTTCCAGTGCTTGACCAGGCGGATGAGGTCCTTCACACATGCCGGCCGGACTTTTACAAACTGGACCTGAAGCTGCATCAGGGACACCGAGAAGTGCTGCCGATCGGGAGGGTCTTTCGTAGCTTCTATCTGTCTGTAGAGTATTCTTCTCGTCTCTGTCATAAAAAGATAAACAGTTAGACTTAGTCAAGTAATTGTTGTTACCTTATTGGTTACCCTATTGGTTCCAACTCTCTAATTGCACCACCGACGCCACAAACAAACAAACAAACAAACAAACAAACAAACAAACAAACAGATAAACAGTTAGACTTAGTCAAGTTTTATTGCTGTTACCTTATTGGTTACCCTATTGGTTCCAACTCTCTAATTGCACCACCGACGCCACAAACAAACAAACAAACAAACAAACAAACAAACAAACAAACAAACAAACAAACCTTTGGAAGGACTTGGCCCTAGCGTGTCGAAACTCGGCATGACGTCCACCAGGTGCATGTGCCTGTTCTTGTAACACTTGAACTGGAACCTGATCGCGAACGGCGTGCTGTCCTCCATCAGGATCTGGTTCGCCATGTCAGACTTCTTCAGACTCACCTGTTGGAACAGTTGATTAAAATTGAAATCAGTAAAATTAGAATCAGTGCCCACCCCTGGAAATCGAAAAAGGGCGATATATGAAACTGCCTGTGTCGGAGAGAATTTGTAAATATTGCTCCTCAAATGCAGTGAAAGACGAAATTCATTTCATCTCTAACTGTCCATTTTATGACGACATCAGAAAACAATTATTTAGCACCGTGTCCAAAATGCTCCCTTTCTTCCCCACCGTTCCCTACCACAAAAAAAAAACATTTTACTACTAAAATCAAAGAGCCCACATATCATAGAAGAAGTGGGTAAATTCGTCTTCCACTGCCTAAAAAGAAGAAGTCAAACCCAGTAAAACTAGTACCATGCATGTTGTAGAATATAGTATAATGCTAGACGTAGATATAGTCTCACATACCACTGTATTTTCTTTCTTATGTTGTTTGTAACTGCAATTAGCCCTCGGGCATGTATTTGCAATAAACTTTCATTGTTGATGATTGTACAAATCTGTTATTTGTGGTCACTGTATGCTAGTTTTGCGAAACAGTTGAGATTTGTACACTATGAACCTAGGCTGACTTGTACATTCACCTGTATGTTGTGTAAGACGTTTCTCGAGTCCTTCTGATGTTCCCTGAGACTTGTGATCTGGTCGTGCAGACTGGAACCCTTCACAAACAGGACAAAGTCCACATCACATCTGCTGGCCAGGTCAGTGCCTTTGATGTACGAACCACCCTGAAAAAAAAAGATCAGATATAGAAGCTTAAGGTCAATATGTAATCCTTAGATTGACGGCGACACTTTTTATAGCCTGGTTATACTTACATGTAGTATTATGTAATCTCTTGGGGTGGTGGGACTTCCGCGTACTATTATGTCAAGTCTGTGTATTTCTATGTTAATTGTATTTTGCTGTGTGGCGCTATTAAAATAAGTTATTAACAGCATCGCCACACTGTCCTTGTTGCTGTTTTGGTGTGTATTTATGAATGAAAAAATAGAAAAAAACAGTAGTAAGTAAGAAACCATATATAAAGTCAACTTCATCATAGAATAGGGCATAAGTAATCATGGTATATATTTTCGTTGTAACATACAAGATTGCTAGGTGCATATGTGAACAGACTATAAAACAAAACTCATCTTACCCTGACGATTCTGTGCACTTGAAACGGGAGTTTGTGTTTCAGGAAGTAGAAGAGCTTGTCCAGTTCCTGCGCACACCCCATGTCTCCGTCAAACGGCAGCTGCAGGGATGACCGGACGTACTCGGACAGTCCGGACGGCCGGACGGTGTCCAGGAAGTTGTCGTTGGTCATCCGTAAGGCCAGAGCTCCTGAAATCAAGGTAAACATTGATGGTGCATTTCATTTGGACGAAGATGGGAAATGCAAATAATCAATGGGGCCCAAACATATGGAAAAAAAAACTTAGACCAAATCTAAATTGCAAGTAGCAGCTAGCAAAGAACAATAAGAACAACAATGCACGTTGGAATTATATGGTATTCATGTAGTTGTTATATTGTAGTGTCGTATACATTGTAGTTATTAAGTAATGACAGTGGAATTATTGTATTTATTATGCTGTAATTTTAATGTTAATGACTCCTGTTTTTTTTAATAATGGAGTTACTAATAAACATAAACATGTGAGGAACATAAGAAGAAAAGCCCCATTACCTCTCAGGCTTGTGTTGAAGAGATGCACCTCCCTCTCATGCTGTTCTCTGCTGTGCACGGACCCGAAACTCTGCGCGCACATTCTGCACGTCACGCTCGTCTGAGACGCCACGAAGTACGCGGGCGCCTCCCCGCGGTTTGGTCGTGATCTGCAGATCATAAATATTACATATGTACTTAGCAACAAGTATTAAGCTGTTACTGTTTAAGTTGTACATACTTGAAGTTTATAAAGATTCTACTATATGTAGTATGGTAGTAGAAATGAGCTGTGTGGGGTCGCGTGGCATAACGACGGAGCGTTCGGCTCGGAACCAGTAGGTCCAGAGTTCGAATCCTGCCATGCCACCAATCTTATGCCCTTGGAAAAGGCACTTTACACGAATTTCCTCACTTTACTCAGGTGAAAATAGCATGTCTGTTCCCCGTTCATGTGTTTGTCTGAGTTAGTGGCGGCATGAAAACAAGTTGAAAAAACTTGAGTGTGCCGTCGCCATGTCTTGTAATAAAAGTTGGAATCGAAAAAGAGTGGTGACCTGTCTGTTTTAAGCGTTGAATATGAGTATATGACATGTATCTATGACATGTATCTATGACTCACTTGTCCTCTGATGCCTTGATATCTTCAGTGACGTGGGCTTCTTTAAGATGTTGCTTCATCAGAGTACGTTTGACCTCCTTCCCGCACCTGTCACACTGCACACACCCCTCATGCTTCCCTCTAAAATAAAAACAGAACATATGAAATAAAACACACACACACACACACACACACACACACACACACACACACACACATTACAGAAAAAGTGGGATTATTCGTCTTCCACTGTGTCGAAAAAAAGGAGTGGAATCCAATAAGGCCACAGCAAGTAAATTTTATTTCAACCCGTGAAAATTTGTGTTCCGCGAAGCTGTTCGAGAGTGACTAGAACTTCTTACTCGCCCACTGATATTTACCTGAGGTGTTGTAAGGTTGCCGTTTTACTGGCGAATCCCTTCCCACAACGTGGGCAGTAGTACAGCTTTATCCCTCCGCGAGGCGAGGTGGCCATCTTTTCAAATCATCAGGCGATATTCTGCAAAATAACAAAGGACATGATATAGGTAATTCAGTGTCAGGGTGACCAAAAATAGACCAACTGCTAGCACATACCGAGTGCTGTACCCAAAGTTATACTTCGTCAAACTCTGGAATATGCCTCTGAATAGTAGTACGTTGAATCAACCCTATCCCATAGCATTCTGATATCTGGCCATGTTGACTTGATTATATGGATGACATCCTCTGGGAACACCAAAACTGATGCGAGCGTGCGAATAATACAAAGTTTGGCAAAAAAGTTAGGAAATCTAGGTGGTCATGAAGGTTGAACAAATGACTAAACACAGAGTATGGTGAATACTAGTAATGTATTATTAGACTCTTCATTTTTATTCCTTCACATTTTTTCTTCTTGTTCTTTGGAGTGAATTTTGGCATTCTGCGACATAAGCATCGTTTTCAATTTAAAGAGATCGCGTACCTTGGTTTGGGGCTAAGTTAAATAATTCAAGTATAAAAAATTAAGGACATTGTGCAAAGAAATGCCAGTATACTAGTAAATGTCAATATCAGACAGATTTCCTGATTCAGAGATTCAGAATATTTTTGCTTTGCCGCCCTAAAATTGCATAGGATGCCTTGGACTCTTTTGCCGTGCACTGAAGCACAAGTTTTGTTCACCACCAAGCATTAACGATCAAACCTTGAATAATTTATAACGCCGTAACATGACTGCTTGTTTGCACACAATGTATCAATCTACCATCAACATCCATGCTAAGTGTTTTGCTGGCAGGGGCCTGAAGATTAAAGTCCAAAATACTTCTTATACTAAGTTATAGGATAAAAATATTTAGACTATTGTCAAGATTCCTTGTTCTAAGGTTCCGGTGTTGTTTCGTGTTTTTTCTGTGTATATAGGAAAAACCCTTTGGATCTGTATGTTTCTTTACCATCAAATAGTGTTTGAAGCAACAAAACCGTTGATAATATTTACATATTGATCTTGTGCATGTGTGTACTGTTTTTGTAGCATTTACCAAATCTCACTGTGGACTGAAAATTGTAAAAAAAATCTGTCGACAAAGAGTAGATATTCTATCAGAAGCTAGGTCACTCGTATGTGTGGTCTTTTTTTAAGTCCACCAAGAGGTCTAGTAAAGACTAGTGCAACCCATACCTTTAAGAAGGAATGTATCCCAGACAGCGTTATATACTTCGTGACAGATTAAAATGTTTGCCCGGTCGTAAGTTGACCCACCTTTGCTTTCTTCAACCGATTGTTTGGATAACGCATTCAGACAGCTACCAGGTAACCCGGCCACTTTACACACAATACCACACAATCAAAAATGATCGCTCATCATTTTGCAGGCAACACTGACAATACCTCTTAAGAACACACTCCATTTAAGGCTATAATGACTTCACGCTTTGTGAACACACGCAAACAATGGGTCACCATGTGTTTTCTTCTCAGTATATCATTTTGGAAAACTGCATACAGCCAAGAAAATAACTAAATTTACCTGGCAACTCAAATTCTAAAGGGGTAAGAATGCTGTAGTAAATGTTGGTTTTGTGCTAATCTTAGTAACAAGGCTGGCTCACTGAACAAATGTATGCCGTGTTAACTGATACGTTGATATTTTCACACAAAATATCGACAGATTGCCGAAGTACTTCGATTTCAGACGCCAAAATTTGCGTACAGTTTTTGAAGCGTGTCGGTGTAAGGGGTCCAGATCACTTAGAAATGTTGACACTGAGAGCAGGAAACTTGATTGAGTGGGGAAATGATATCGACAGGAAAGTGTTTCTGGTTGACCTAGTGAGAAGAATAACACGACTTGTACACCATGAAAACAACACCGTCAGTACAACAAGAACTACGTGCAAAATACTTACCTGTACCTGTTTGAACTGGGATTATTCTAAGCATTCTACCGCAAATATAAGTTTGTATCGCAGTCTTATGATTTGATATTCAAGCAGAAATTCTTCCAAATCGTTTAAAATTAATACAGGCTCTTAAATTCATTCCTAGTAAGTTAGTCAGACAGGTAATAGTATTTGGGGATCCAGTAACATTTATGTCAAGGGGGGTAAAAAAAACTGTGCTTTCAAAATGTTTTTTCCATGTTTGAGGCAGATTCTAAGTTTATATCATACGCTGGACAACTCAAATGTTTTCACATGGACCGAAGTGGTAGCGTGTAGATCGTACGTACCTGGTGTGTATATGAAGTCCTTGGGCGATTCGGGGTAAAGGTTTGGTGTCAGTAGTCCACAAAAGAAGTCGTTCTCTTCTATGAAGGGGTTTGCATGGTAATGGCGCCTCTGTGTTAGCCGGATTGTTAAACTGATTGTCGGTAATCGCGTTTGCTACCCCCCTGATTTTTACCCTAACAGGTATGGTAGTTTGCGGCTTGACCTCTTCGTGCCCTAGGCAACGCACACCACCTCTCATTTACATAACAATGGAACAATCCTACAGGTAGTTGGGGGAACGTTCCATTCCTCGGAAAGGGGTATTAATCGTGCATTTGTATTGAAAAGCGAAGAAAACGTCCGACCGAAGACGACTGAAGCGTCATTACTTGGTACATTCCGATGCATGATGATGTTGTTGTTGTTCAGTTCTAATACACATTTGTTAAGGATTAATGTTGGGACGGACACGTACAAGTTCTGTTCTGTAATTCAGCACCAATGTGGCAGGTGGCGCTGTTGTATGGTGAGCATTGTATGCAATGGTACAGTATTGGCCTTTTGGACTACTAATAAAAGATCTTAGAGAAAAAAGTTCTTACCACATAATATATTCCTCCTGTGAAAAAGCCCATTTTCATCCCATACTTTACACACTCTTGTTTTAGGTAGATTATCCTTAGGAAACTGTAGTTATGTACCGCCATACTTTGCACCCTGTACAATTCTTGTTCAAGAAAAAAGTTTATGTAGTACTAACACTATCAGAGAATTGCTAGCATAGTTTTTCTTTGTTGGCATGTATCCGTAGTTGTGAGAACACAAATCATTTTCCGTGCAGATATTTGATAGAAAGTCTATTGCAAATACATGCCCGAGGGATAATTGGAGGTACAAACAACATGTATGAAAAAAGAAAATACAATGGTATGAGAGACTATATCTAACATTATACTACATTCTACAACATACTTTATACTAGTTTTTCTGGGTTTGACTTCTTCTTTTGAGGCAGTGGAAGACAAATTTACCCACGTCTTCTATGATATGTAGGTTCTCTGAATATAGTGTCATATAATGCCAATGCGTTTGCGTCACTGCTCGCCCTATTTCGTTATTCCAGTTCAGGTAGGGTAAGAATGAAATTGAGAAAATCATCTTTCAAAATCAGACTGTGGTTTCCATTATTCTGCGGAGACAATTAATAAGATTGCGTCGTTTTCATCGAGTTATTTTAAAACGCCAGAGGCCTGGAGCCACTAGTATATCTTACCTGTAATGATAAATTATCTGCTAGCCAGGGCAGTATAATTGGCTGGGAGGGTCCCGTCTGATGGAATTAGATGTATAATGAAGGGGTACAGGTCAGCGAAACAATCATCTCCTCAGCCCCTGCAGCGTCGAATCTATTGCTGTCCGAATAATTCACTACCGTCAGTAAAGGGCGAGTGCTATCATTGGGGTCATTGCTGAAATTAAAACGGGACTTTCGGGCAACCGGCTTACATTTGTCTTCAATCCATTCTCGATTTCTGGCTCGCGCTGGAGAGGGAGTGACGTAAAATCTGGCCAGAGGTATCGGGTTATTTACCGACATCGATGGCGGCCTAGATACTTTAGGGTTGATTAAAATGGTAAATTAAATCTGGACGCGGTCTGCGAAGTGATTTCCCACCAGGTCGTCCTCAAATCACCCGGGAAAATGTCTTCTGTACTCGGTACAGGCAATGCAGGAGTGCTGGGGGACTTTTTAAACTTTAATTTTACTTCGAATCATACATTTTAGGGCTACTTCGTGAAAATTATGCTGTCTTTATGGAAAGGGATAGCAGCCCGAGCACTAAACGAATTTTTTTTTACGATGGGAGTGAAGGAAGTTATCTACATCAGGGCATACCAACCTTTTCTCAACCGGGACGGGGGTCGATATAGACTTTTAATTAACTTTGACCCACTGCTGACGTCACAGGTGGGAAAAATCACTTGCCTACAGCACACGGATAAAACCGAGGAATTCGGTCGAAAATTCCTGTTTCATTGAGTTGGAAAACAGTTTAATTCTTCTTATATAATGTACCAACTCATGCTAATTTTAGGGTTAGCTATCATGCACTGTTTAGATATTACTCAGAAATAACAAAATGTGATGTGATGACAAGAATGTAACACAATTTATTATTTGCCGACTCAAATATCATGTTGATAATATTTCTAGGATGCTGTGATATTAATCTGCGCTTGCTGGCGATATATTAGATAGAAAGTTTATTGCAAATACATGCCCGAGGGCTAATTGCAGGTACCAACCAAATGTATGAAAAAAAGGAGAAAATACATGGTATGAGAGATTACGTCTGATATCATTCTACAATATACATGTACATGGTACTAGTTTTGCTGGTAATGCAAGTGTTTTGCTAGTAATGCAAGTGTATTATATGTTGTCTTTTTCTTTCTATACCACGTATACTCACAATATAATAGACGAAGCACTACTCAGAAGAAAAATGAACTGAGAAATAAAACAATATAGAACGAATATGTTATAAGAATTAAAAGAGAATTCACAATGTGGGCTAAAAAGAAATTTGAACGAAAAAACAATTACACTGACGGTGATTATGTATATCGTTATGAAAAACCATCTCGTATTTCGGCCCGTTTGTCATAGATATGATAAAGATTTAAATTGATTGAGTCTGAAAAATAAAGGAAAATAATTACCAATATCTTTATGTATAAGCTTTATCACAAAATCTCTAACACGAGCATACTATAATTGCCTGCATTTACACGCCCATAAAGTCATTCTTACAATGTAGAATCACATCATAATTTTTAACGTCTATAAACCTGGCTATTCACAACACAAAAGGCAAACGGTCATGGACATTCTTTTATGGTTTAAGTCATTAAATGGTATAAGTGCCTTAGTGATAATAACCGCCTATCTCATTCGAACAATGAAAATTCCATTACTATGGAAATGATATAGCAAAGCAAGCGTGAATGCACAACGTTTTTCACGTCATTTTCAACCTTCTTTCAATGTCACGAAGAAAGCAGGACTAGAATGTTGATGTATGTTGAAGATCGTTGGAGTGACGGGGACCCCAGAAAATGCGAAATGGAACGAAATAGAACGAAATAAAGTAAATATTTAACACAATTAAGTTTTAAATACACCTGATGTGTTTCATTTCTTGAACCTTTCAATAATAATCCAAAGTTGAACGATATGCTATGCTAATGAACTGCGGCGAATTGCATTAAAATATGACAAGGAAACAGATATATATATGGAAGCAAGGACTAGAATGAAGAAGTGGATGGTAAAATTACATTTTCAGAATTCACCAAGAGTGCACGAGGCAAGCGTTGTTTTAAACCTTTTAGACGTTTTTTAAACTCCTTGTTTATACAAGAAATAAACCATATCAACTTATTTATCTATCACTTTCTTCAATATGAAACATTAAAATTCCTTTCCTTATATTTCACCATCTGCATGTATTTTATCTCATTGTATTAACAAAATTGTACATATTTTGTTTTATTTCATTTAATTTCGTTCCATTTCCCACTTTTATACAGCAGTGTTGATGTATGTAGAAGATCGTTGGCTTGACGTGATTGTGGGAGAAACAACTGCGCTGAAAAATCGATAGTTTAGTGACCCCTGTTAGACGTATGGAAGACCATTGCGGCGAAAACACGCCATAAAAAACCACGGCCCTCCACAGACTTAATTATGAGTTCCGCCCGGAACGGAAGTTCCAATTTCAAAACGGATAACGGAATTTTGGTAAAGGTGTTCGGGTGCTTGCGATATAATTTTTCTCACAGTGGCCATGGGCGTTATGTGTGTAGTTTTTATGATATTTTTCCTCAAAGGCGATGTTATATATCTATGTATAGACATATGGATAGAAATATAGATATAGACAGACAGACAGACAGATAGATAAATAGATAGATGGATAGATAGGTAGGTAGATAGATAGATGGGTGGCTGGATGGATGGATGGATGGATAGATAGAGAGATAGACTGGATAGATGGATAGATATTGCATCACATAAGATACTATGTAAATGCCAATTAAACATTCAACTAGAAAGCTTAACAAATAATTACAGTAAGTTTCATACCACAGAATTATACTGGTATTGGGTAATAGAAAAACGAGTTAAAAATCGTCATTTTAATTGATCACCCCATTCGAGTACACCCGACCAGCAATGCCAGCAGATTGAGGATATCTTTCCCGACAGAAACATTGAGATTAGTTTCTCTTCTGTGTGATACCAGATCCTTGTAGACATCAAACAGATTCTTACGATCTGCCATTAAGAATTTAATCCTAGGATTCTTATACATCAGCATTTGAGTCTCTTCTATTGTAATCGTAATTGGTTTATGGTATTCCGGCTGTTTTATCAATCAGGCAATACTGAATATGCCACCGGCGAATTATCTCTGAGTCTGCGAGTGCCTTATCTGTGGTAAAGATCGATTTATCCCGAAAGATGAATTAGGTGTGCTTTGAAACACTGTTGAAAATGCCTTCTATAAATCGTTCTAATGGTCCCGGCATGTTATCGCTATTTCCCGGCATGTTTTCTTCTCAACGCCCGGCTAAAACCGGGCCTCACGCGCCGTCTCCTACTTTGTATTCCCGCCAGCGGCGCATGGAGAGACTTGGACTATAAATTCTGGTTATCTTTCCTGCACTGACGACGCTTATGGTCTCTGAGAGCCAGATTGTAATCTTAATATAACCTTGTATCGGTAGCACCAGCAGTTAGTAGTGAGGCAGATAACAGGATGACACTGAGTAGTCCCTAGCATTGCCACGACGGGAGGACCGGGTCCTAATCTCATTACCATGAGCGTATTCTGCCTGGGTAATTTGATTAAACTTTCCAAACGCCACGGTGATATAAGATAGGGAGGGAAGACTTAATCACAAAACACACGAGGTGGAGGAGATTTAGATTAGATATGCGTCCAGAAATTAAAGTAACTTTTTTCGATTGGAGTATACTGGTTGTTGGCTTGGCGTAAGATGCATAATTGCACAGTTTTCTTGATATTGAAGATTTCAAATGTAACGTAAGTGAAGGGAATAACTGATCTTAACAACGGCATTCTTTCCCATAAGAAAGGAAATTTGCAGTAGTATCTAATGTCTAATACATTTAAAAACGTATAAAACTGCAACGAGAACAAGGTAGATATTGTG